ATTGATTTTATATGGCTTCATCCCACTAGCATTGTTTAGACTGTCTGATTGAATTGCTTAATTTATCAAATTTTCGATAACAACAAAAAGTCGAAATTACTAAAAATAAATCATATTTATGTGCGAAATCAAAAGTAAACAGAGCTTGATTAATTTGTATTTTTTTTTTCGTTTTTTTCGTTTGGCAACACTGGCTGCCGAGTTCGCTTGTTGTTTTTATCGATAACAGCGGCAAAGTACCAATTACAAAAATGAAAATAGAAGCCAACTTCAGTACAACAACACAATTTACCCCATTATTAGACCAAAAATAACAAAAATCAACAAAGCAAAACAAACTCAAGCAAAACAAACAAAAAACTAAATCAAAAACTAGAGTTACCAAGAAATGGCGCTGCATTGCAGGGCGGCTCCCCTTAACCCACTTTCACAAAGGGCAATTGTCGAAGTCGTCACGAACTGAGTGTCAGCAGAGCAGCTCATGTGCATTTGCATGCTGAGAGTGTACAGTGGCCACTCGCTAAAGCGGAGCACAGCTCGATAAATAAATACATTTATGGATGTATCGCAAAGGCAGGCATCGATAAATGTGGTTTAATGGCTTCAGTTATTAGCGATAAGATTGTCTGTAATCGATAATTTGTTTACGAAGTGCTGTCGATTCTATACATAAACTGTTGTCAACTTGCAGTAATCATGTGTTATCGATAACAGCAATATTAAAGATCTATGAGCTGTCGTCGATAAATGTGTTATACATGCAACTTGTCCTCATGTCTATTACTATCGATAGGTATGTCATCGATAAAGCTGTTCTAAAAGATATATAAATGTTAAGTTAATAGCTGTTATCGATAAAAGGCTACTTCTGTTACCTGTTATCGTTATCGATTAATACATTATGTATCAATTGGATATGACACATATCGATATACACGCTATCGATAAACTTGTTATTCCTTGAGTTCCACAATATAAAATCAATGATCAGATAATACAAAGTTTGCCGAAAGGGTATCTATTAGCCGTGCATGCCTCGATAATGGCTTCGCCTTATACCTAGAAATAGATGTTTTGTAATATTTGAGCGTTTTGCATACTCAACCAGGTCGCCATTAGCGTGTGCTCACCGTAGCAAGTTCTTCAAGTGCTCGCTACAAATTTGTAGCATACTTTTGCGGGCAGCTGGCAGCCAATTGGCAGCCGAGTGTCCAGTCGCTGGAGTCAATTGTTGCCGCTCCAAGGCAACAGCGACGGACAGGATAGGGGGTGGTGGGGGGGAGGTGGGGTCGGGTAGGGTCAAGTTAACTGCAGCTGAGGCCGCAGCACTTGGACTAAGCCAGCCAAGAAGTTTTGTGAGTTGCCAAAACAAGGCCAACTTGTGACGCAAACAACAACAACAGCAACAACAACAACAACAGCAAGCCTGAAGAAGAAGGGCAATAATATGAAATAAATTCCAATAGAGGCTGCCAGCAGGGTGGGGCCAGAGGTTGGCTACGAAGTGGGTTTTAAGGGGTAACGCTACAAATCCGTACAAATTGAATAAGAACTCAATCTTGGCTACTGTCAAAACAACTTTTCTCTGGCTGGGCTCGGGGTCGATTGGGGTAGTCCTGGCAACCGGACACCGCAGCATGAGGCGGAAAGATAAAAAAAAAAAAAGAGAAGATGAGAAGATGAGAAGAGGCACAAAAAAAAAAAAAACAAACAAACACAGACAGAATGAGCGAAGGGAAGGGAGTGAGAGTGAGAGAGAGTGGGCAAGGGGAGCGGGGAACAGCTATATATTGAATGGAATTGAATTGAAATGGTCGGGCAATTGTTTGTGTATCATTATAGTCATCATCAATGTGCTCATCGACTCGCCAGCTGTCGCCGACCCGATGCATATATCTCTCCATCATATAGATATGGCTATATTATCAATTGCTAACTCTATCTCTGTGTGTGTGTGTGTGTGTGTTTGTTATTTTTATGGCTGGGCAGCATGGCTTTTAAAGCCCAATACGCTCTTAGCGTCGTTTTGAGTTTAAGAAAGCATTTTGACTGCAGACTCCTGGTCTAATTACAGGATATCGTATGGTCCATCCACTCTCATTTAACCCTTAAAGCTAGCGACGTCTTTATATTCCAAATTTAATCTGAGTTTATCGCAAATCTTTTTCAGTGAAGCAACACGTTACGGAACTGCAGCCAATTACAGGGTATGCCACAGTCCAGCAACTTTTCAATTTTGCGCCATTCTAGTTATTTTCACATTTTCTTCCTTGCTTAGTAGTTCATCTTAAGTAAAGCTATGTTTTCTTTAACTTAAGATTATTTTACAGGGTATGCTTTAGTTGAGCTCCGTTAGCCAAACCATTTCATATCCCATATCTAGAGCTTTCTTCAACTTTTCATACTTTTAATGATTTCTATTTTAATTGAATGCAAATTTCAACTCCCCCCATTGCTTCCTCCGCCGATCCCTCTGCAATTGTAGGGTATGTGTCAAGCACCTTCTCTCAAATATGTCAGCAAGCAAACATTGAGCATGAGAGGACATCTTCAGATACACGCAATGTCCATTGAATTCCAATTAACAACGTTTAGCAAAATGATTGATTGACTCTACGGCTCGAGCGAAATGCAAAACCCAACCCAAAATTCAAGTATATATATACATACATATACACATATGTGTGTGCGAGTGTATGTGTGAGTGTGTTAATAGCTTTGCCAAGCCCTTAAGATAATCTATACATAATTTGTTCATATCCATAAAAATCGTGAATGCTGCAATCGAATTAATTTGTAAATTAACTTTTTTAGTGCTGGAAAATTTCAGTAAACAGTGTTGACTAGAAACAAATATACATACATACATATTTATATTTGTTTATGTATAATAATCATATATTTTGCTTTTTTTGAGATTTCAGATCACTGCAAACTGCCTTTTACAACACTGCAGTGCTGCATTAAAACTGCCAATAGTTATCGATAAATGCAAAGGTGTGACGATTGCAAATGTGAGCAAATTGCAAATTTAGCCACTGTGCGTGTATGTATGTGTGTGTGTGTGTGTGTGTGTGCGTGTATGTATGTGTGTGTGTGTGTGTGTGTGTGTGTGTGTGTGTGTGTGTGTGTGTGTGTGTGTGTGTGTGTGTTGTCATGTTATGTCAGGCGATCAATTGGTCTCGCTCTGGCCACGCCTACCACCAGCCGCCCCCCCTCGAGCCAGGCCGGCTGCCGCACCCGCTCCCGCACCCTCTCGCCCGGCTGTCGTCAGAGGCGGCGGCACTATTAATTATCATGTTAAAATGTAATTAATTAAAGATGTCGTCAACGCAGCCGTTGAAGCCGGCGCCCGCAACATAACTTTCAATGAAAAGTTAATAAATTACATAATGCCGTAAACGAAATTACAAACGCCATCAACGCTGACAACAACAACAACAACAACAACAAAAATGCCACCTGATAACAAATCAAACGAACATTTTTGTGCCGCCTATCGACAGGCGTCGCGACGTCAACGTCGACGTCGGCATCGGCATCGGCATTGGCACGGACGCTGATGTTGACAAGGCGCTCGCACAGTGGTACAATGTATTAGTTAGTCCAGCAGAAAGTGCTAATAATAATAAATATTAATAAATTGATGTATTTGCTAAAATATCTTTTTTTTTTTTAGATACGGGACAAAGGGTCTGAGGTGTCCAAAATCTGTAAATTGCGAATACTTTCATTCTTTCTTCAATACATGCATCTACGCCAAAAATTTGTGAAATTCTAGCTATAGTATTCAAATTACACTAAATGAATTCAAATTATCGATTATTATCGATCTAAATGGACAGAAGCTATCGAAAAAAAATTTATGTAGTGGTACTGCACATGGTATACAGGAGCATACATGTTAGGTGTATGTCTCTAGCGGTTGAGAGTAACGAGATATCTGTGTACATACGGAGGAGCAATGGACGAACAGATAGATGAGCAAATGGTTAGACGGACAAACGGATGGACGAACAGAGAAGGTAATTTGGACTAAGCTTTTCAATCTGAACAAGAATACATGCACTTTATGGGATCTGCCACGCCTCCTTCCGAGTGTTACATATTTTTTAAGAAAGTCATAAAACCCCGAACCCATTGGAAATGGGTTATCATAAACATATGCAATGGATAATGTGCAATATGCAATGGATAAATTAAGATAAAAGGCGATAATTCGAGCTCTTGATGAATCTTAGGCTACAAATAGACTTACCATAACTGAAACCTCTATTGTCAGACGGCAAACAAATAGATACAAGTTTTTTTTTTTTTTGCTGTACAGATCTCAATTTTATTTTCCAATCATTAAAACGTTATAAGACATATATATATATGTATATAGATGGATGTCATGATATACTATATATAGGAGGACGGTGAATTTCTACCTAAATATGTATCTACAAATCGATGCATACCTATTTTGTACATATATATATAGTTGAAGTATATATGTTAATATATATAGATATATATGGGTATACATATATATGTGTATATATAAAGGTATACAAAGATGTTGACTATGAATGTGAATAAATGTTTACTTGCATTTGATCCATTCTATAGAATATTCATATATATATTCATATATACATACGATGCATATGTATATATCTATATATATAAATAGCTGCTAGAATTGTGGATAAAGTGTGTCATGTCCAGTTTTGTTGTTCTTGCTGTGTAGATTCGCTTTGTGTGCTTTCTGTGGGTTAAATCTGATATTATGGTTATTCAGTAGCTAATTCTTTCAATTGTTATCCGGCTCTGTGTAAAATTCTGGTGGGTTTTGCAGTATTTGATAGAATATTTTAAGTGTTCCTAAGTGTGTGTAGTTCTCTTCTTTCGTGGGTTCGGTTCAGTATTTATCGGTATCTATGCAGTCTCTTGTTAGGTTTGTCGTGTTTTCTTTTCTCTTTCCTTGGCCTAGAAAGCGAAATTTAATCATTTTCTGTTTTACTCTGTTACGTTACTGTATCTTCTCTCTTTTTTCCGTGTAAGCGATCAATCCGTGATATTCGTATAGGTATTTTCCAGTATTTCATTTTTGAGTGAGTCAGTACAGTTTTTTCTTGTCAAAAATATAAAGAATGTATATATGGGTTTGTGATTTGCAGCCTGTCGATTCCTCGGAGATGTTTGTGTTTACTATTTTGGAATTTGTTTGCCTAATGACGTGTCGCAATTGTCCATTAGCTGTTTTTTTTTTTTTTTTTTTTTTGTGCTTTTCTGTATTGTATTTTGTAGTTTTTTAGTGTTAAAATCGGGCCTTGCGATCGTCATCTATATACCATCTTTAATGCGTTTGGTTGTCTTCTTTTCTTGTAGCTTAAGGGTTGTCGTCTTCAGTGTCGCAGGACTGGTAAATATGCTCCGAATATGGAGCTTACCAAAGTCCCGACGAATAACCGCCGGGCGGAACTCGACTATTCGTATTGGATGGCATCGTCTGACTATGTGGCTGTATAAAGTCAGTTGCGCCCGGCTTGTAACCCTCACCGGTAACTGGATTACCCTCTATTATCGAGCGCCATGCAAATAGATGAGAGAAATATATATATATATATTAGATAATGAGTGATGGAAAGATGGAAATTAGGGTTTGAGAATGGTAGATCTTTTTCGTGTTGGACTTCCATACAAGATCTATATAAATTCCGGTAAGATGACAGGTTGGGGGAAAAATGAATTGGCGGGAATGGTGAAATTATTTTCCATACCAGATCTAAATATCTCCTACATCTCAACATCTACATCTAAAACTAAAAAAAAAATATTTCCAATGCTTCCCATATATAAGCTAAGTGCATGGTAAATTGAAATGCTAGCGAAGGAATTGTATGTGCCGGCAATATTTTGCATACTGCATCTAAATATCTACCACCTTACCAGATCTAAGTGCATGATGGTAATGTGAAATGTTAGCGAAGAAGTTTGTAATAGAGAACATATTTTCCATGCTAGACCTGTTTCACAAGCATTTCATATACCAGATCAATTTACCGGGGAAATTTATATCTAAATCAAACTAAATCGAAATATTTCAAATGTATAATCATATACCAGATCAATTTACCGGGGAAATTTATATCTAAATCAAACTAAATCGAAATATTTCAAATGTATAACCTAAATATTTGCCTAACCATGATGAAAATTTTGGGCAAAGCTCATACAAGCTGTGCATTGTGTGGACTCTTGGTAAACTCTCGCACATCTCTATTCTATGATCAGTAGATATATAAGTGTTTTCAGCAAACATACCTCGGTTCTTGATCTTCCTGGGCTTTAGACCACCCACGCCATCACCATTCAGACCAGAGCCTGTAATCGGATTGCGCGAATAAAAGTTATCCTTGTTGTCGATCTTGACACACGGTGGAGGCGACTGCTCCACATAGTCGCCGCAAACACCCATCGGTTCCTTCAGATCGGGCTCCGGGCCCATATTGTCCAGCGAGTACGGACGTTCGGGATTTGTGCTCGAGTCGCGACGACTTTGTGTATAGACATCGTGTTTGTCGGACTCGACGAACTTAGCGTTGTCGGCCGGCACCGACTTGACAGCGTGGTCAGTGCATGGCAGGTCGACGTTCAACGTATCGGCCGGACGTTGCGCCTCATCGCTGGGCACGGGGGTAACAGGGCAAGCCTGATCCCGCTCGAAGGCCTGCGGTTCGCGAGCATCGGGAGCCTTATCTGGTGTTAAGACTCAAATAGGTACAATTCGATCGCCTTTCATCTGCACAGATACTTACTGCTCATGTTGGATAACTTTTATTTGCACACGGTAAACACTAAATATTTTCACCAAAAAAAAAGGAATATTCCAAACTTTTAAAAGAATTTGAATTTACAATCTGACCCGATTCACTTTTACAAAATATATAAATATATTATTTTGATTTTTTTTTACGATTTTTAGTTTTTGGTTGTGTTCAGCTCAATAACTGGACTAGGACTGACGAATGTATGAATATGGGGCTGGTGCCTTGAAAAATCCGACGATTTTCAAAGCGCCGCCTACTGATAAATACACACAAAATTTCCGGTGTTAAAGTGCTTGTCAAATTTTCGGACAACCGGTTAAAGTTTGACAAGTAACGCAAAGCATTCGAGAGTAGAAAAATTTAAGAACCACATATAATGAATTAAAACTAATATATATAAAACATAATTATTTGTTTTTTTTTTTTTTTTTTTTTTTTTTTCTTTTTCAAAAAGAAATTTTTGTATAAACTTAAGTTAATACATAGAATGAAATTTGAAGCGTTTGCTCCACTGTGCACGCAGCTCAATTGATGCGACCGTTTATATGTGTGTGTGGGTGTGTATGTGCGTGCTTTGTCATGACCCGCATAATCCGCATGTAAAACAAATTAATAAATAAATAATAAATAATAAATGTGCGTAATAATAATGACTAAAGAAATATCAGAAACAATAAATTTTATTTGAGTAGTCGCCAAAACCGCCGACAACAAATGCCAAAAACAAAGGCAACAATTATTAATGAGAGAGGGAGCGAGAGTGTGAGAGAGATGGGCGCTTTGCTTGCTTTGTAGCGTTTGGCATGAAGGAAGAAGGGGAGGGGTTGAGGCGCAGTGTCAGCAGTCGGGGGCGTCTGTCTCTTGTCATAAACGTTTATAAATTTGTTGTCTGCGCGTAAATAAAATTCGCAACAATATTAAAACTGATGCAAAGGCGTAACAGAACGATTGGGCGGCGGGTGAGGAAGCGGGCTCTTTAAAATAATTTATCGCATGCAATATTCACGCACGCACTCACACACACGCGCCGGCTTTTGCTGTTGTGCCGCTGCTTTAGAGACGCTTGCACGTTTTCACGCACATTTGTAAGCAAGTCAGGCAATCGCTTGCCCAATTAAATGCGTTGAAGCACACACGCACACACACACACACACACACAGACACATACATTCTCCCTCCTCACTCACACTCTCGCTCATAACTGTTATCTCAAAAGCTAATTCTCCAAAGTCAAAACACTCGCATTTTCGCTCATAACAGTTAAATAAACAGAGACAAAACCTCGCTCACTCACACGCTTGCTGCAGCCGCGCCTCTCTGCATGCAATCGTCTCATTTAAATATATGACACATACACACACACACACAGCAAGAACGAGAGGAAAGAAACCAAGAGCAATAACAGGCAAAATTAAGGCACAGTGGGCGCAGTGCCTTTAACATACACACATATAGCATACTTATATGTGCTTATGCAAATAAACCAAGCGAGAGAGAAAAGAAAGAGAGAGTGAGAGTGAGACAGAGATAATTCAATTAACTTTATTATAAGTTCTTCAATCAGTCTATCGCCTTCAACGTTCACGCTTCAGTAAAGCTTTCACGCACCCAACTCAACTGCAAAAAGATCAGAGCGTATACTTTGCATAAGCGCAAATGTCTGATCCCACCATCACCACCACAATGCAAGCAACGGTACACTGCGCTGCGCTACAGTCGGCGTGCCGCGGGCATCAGGAACTTCAATTGCAGCTGTCGCTTTGTCGCTGCTGCTGCTGTTGCTGCTGCAGCTGCAGCTGTCGCTTTTGTCGCAACGTCTCGCACTCTTGCTTCAGTTTAGCTGGCAGCTGACTGCGCTGCTTTTGTAAAATCATTTGACATGTCAACGTCGCGCAGTCGAACGTCGATCCCCTTCGCATGCCAGCACAGAAAAAAGCGAGTCAGATGCGCTCGCTCACTCTAACACATACTATATAGCGACCAAACCACATAATGGTTGAGGTGTAAGCGAGAGCATTGCCCGTTTATCAAAACGGCGCCCGCATGTGTTGCTGCTGCTGCTGTTGTTGTTGCTGTTGTTGCGGTTGCCGTTATTTTTGCCCTTCCTTCTTCTAGTTATTCTCAGTTAAAGTCGTGCAAGAAAAAGCGCAAATCAGCCACAATTGCCTCTGACAGACGCAAGCTCTTTTTGCCTTTGTGCGCCAGTGTGTGTGCATTTGTGTGTGACTGCATGTGTATGTGAGTGTTCAATACTTTGTAGCTATGACAGCGTGCGAGTGTGTGTGGCTTTGACATTATTTGTGCTGCGAGCTGACAGATTTTCGTTACGGCAGCATTAAATTGAATTTTGACATTTCTTTGCATATGCGAAATAGACACACACACACATGCACACACACACACACACACACACACACACACACACACTGTCATTTACACATATACGCGTGTATTTTGTCACATTTAAGCTGAGCCACTGGCAAAAAGCTACAGGCACACTCAGTCTCTCTCTCTCTCTCTCTATCTCTCCATCTCTCACACTCTCTCCTTATATCCCTTGACCAGCTCGCTTTATGAGTTTTACCTTGCACTCGAGACATCAATTGGCAAACTGACTAATGAAATAACAAATTATGATTGATTCGATTAATTAAAGCTCAACAAGCTTGTATCCATTGCATCTTTAAGCTACAATATCCAAGTTTCAAATTCAATTTGAGCCTAAGCAAAATGCAGAGGAGGCAAAAATATTTTGCTTTAGTGAGCAAAATTTCAATTTTTGTTGATTAAAGAGAAAACTAATTTATGTGGGTGAGTGTGTGGGTTAGTGTTTGGGTGTATGAGTGAGTGTTTGATTAACGCCGGATCGAACAGAGTCTAACTCTGATGCCCACTGGTCATATGGTCAGATGGAAGCACCTGCCCCGTTCCGGCCCGCCTCTATTTCAATGCTGAGCACCTTGAAAATTAATTTCTCACGTTTCACGTACAATTTGTATGACCGGAAGCGTTTTCAAGCCTGAGCCGTGCCTCTCTCTCTCCCCCACTCTCTCTCTCTCTCTCACTACATCTCTCTTGCTCTGTCTCGCTTTGGTCGGCCGCAATCCTTAGCCAATACGGCTAAGTTCCTGTCTCCTCTTCCTCATATCTCCACAACTAGCTATTCGCTAATGAAGGTTTCATATTGCTGCATCTGCTGCCCTTGTTATACCCTGTACTCGCTGCTAACCGCAGGTGGGTGTGATGTGTGTGTTTGCAAACTTATATGTTTCTTGTAGCAAAACTCTTCTAATACACTTAACAATTAGAGGGTATTCGGTATTTTCTGATTTAAGCATTGGCAGATATTTTAAGTTGAATTTGCGTAAAAAGCCTACTTGACTTTATTTTCATCTGGTTGTACTGCATATTTCCAATACATTTGAAGCATTTACCTCTATTAAAGCGTTGCTTCAGTTTTATTGCCTCCTACCAAAATAGGTACATACATATATAAATACCTCTATGCTTTTGCATATATGTAGGGTATCTGCTTGTATATCACTAATGCAGTATGGCTAGAATACTTATTTAATATAGACTAGATAACCTTTGTCTGCTTTTACTCTTCATATCATTTATAGGATATCTTCTATTCAATAATTTCATCCTCACTTTTGAAATATTTTTCATTAATTTCCCCTAATGAAAAAAAAATTTTTTTTGAATAAAGTTAATTCTTACATTTACTCTAAATACTTTTTATAGGATACCTTAGTCCATCTTTAATTACAGGATATGTTCTAGTATATCATTTAATTTTATTTTTTAATGTATATTCAATTTTGGTTTGTTTGAATGGGATTTTGCTATGCGTTTTTTTTATATTTTGTACAGCTTTTGTTTTACAGGGCATCTGTTAGCACATCAACACAACACTTGCATTCAGTTGGCCAGCTTCTTGTTGCTCTTGGCCATAGCACGTAGCCAATGAGTCCAATTCCGCATTCGGCTGCTGCCTGACCAAAGAGGCCACGCACCCAAATGCAATTGGCTAGATATGTGTGTGTGTGTGTGTGTGTGTGTGTGTGTGTGTGTGTGTGTGTGTAAGCACAAATACTCTTGCATGCATTGCAGTGCATTGGACAAAGCGTGTAAACTGATATATGATACCCAACTATCAGGCAAACATGAAGGCGGGTATGCCAAGCTAAGCCCATAGATATTATCTCTTAGGAGATCATTCAGATAGATAGATAAGTTATATATACACATATTCATATTTCAGTATATATGCCCAGTAACTATAGTTTCATTAGCAACATTGGCAAGACAAACAAAAGTAGTCATTATGAGAAGCGCATATAAAGGCGTTTGCATACAGTAGACGAGTTTTGAAATATAAATCATAGAATAAATATATATAATAGCTATGTAATATATAATATAAATATACATAATAGATATTGCAGATAAATAATTGTTGTTGTTATTGCTTTACAGGGTATCGCCTGGTCGTTCTGTTTGGCAGCTCGTCAGAAAGCATTCTCAACTTATTATTGTTGCGGTTTGTGCTGTGCTTCTGTTTAGTTATTACACATATTAGCTTGTGGCCAGCTTTGGCTTTGTTTGCCACAGACCAGAGACCACCTTTGTCAGTGAGAGAGAGGGAGAGAGGGCGAGAGAGAGAGAGAGAGAGTTGTCATGCGTGTGCTTGAATTGCAGAGGATTATGGGTCTTAATTTTATGATTGCTTCTTTAATCAGAGCAACTAACTGCACGCCAATTATGTCCAGACCGTGCTATTTGTTTCTCTCTCTCGCTCACTCACGCACTCACTCACTCTTGCCTGCTCGCTCACTCTCTTAGCAGCTAATCGATGTGCGTTATTTGCGATTAGCCGAACGAGCCAAATGAGCCACGTAGTCATAGAGCAATCGAGGGTGTGGAAATTGCTTATGTCTTGGCAATCATTTGTCTTGCTAAGAGAACGAGAGAGAGAAAGAACCTCGTACCACCCAGAACTGCCAGCTACCCAACCACGCCCACCCAGCCAGCTCCCCTTTGTTTTGTCGGTTTTGTCGGTTTTCGCTCCGGAGCATAATGAATGCGTGCTTAGCCATAATAAAATGTAGCGGCATTTTCCAACAAGCCACAAAAACAAGGCACAAACACACACAAACACACGCACACACACACACACAGACACAGGGGTATACCTGCATACACTAAGCGAAAATAATTAGTCGAGATTGAAGCGTTTATTCGTTTGGATTGAAGAAGTTATTGACATGAGCGAAATGAGGGAGAGAGAGGGAGAGAGGGGGAGAGAGAGCGATAAAGAAAAAGAGAGAACAAGATAGAGGCAGACAATGTGAAAGAGAGAGAAAGATGAGAGAGAGAGAGAGAGAGAGAAAGAGCGAGGGAAAAAGAGAGAGAGAGAAAAATGTAAAGGCAGACAAGGGTAAAGAGAGAGAAATATGAGATAGAGAGGAACAGAGACAATGAAAGAGAAAGTGAAAGAAATGTATATTTATGTATATAGTATATAGAGAAAAACCAAGCCTATCGGCAAGCCGTGTTCATATCTTCTATCTCTCTCATTCTCCCCCTTCGCACTTTATCTGTCTCTTTGCATATTTAAAATACACATAAGAAGCATTACCTCTGTCTTGTTTATCTCTCTTTCACCCTAAACATCTCTCACTTTCTCACTAGACTCTCTCTCTCTCTCTTACTCTCACTCATTTCACTTTAATATTTGGTTTACTTAAAACTCTTTTTTCTCAGTGTAGCTCGCTGCATTCAAGGCTCATTCATAGGCCACCCGCAAGCTACTGCAGTTGCTGTTGCTGTTGCTGCTGTTGCTGTTGCTGTTGCTGCTGTTGCTGCTGGTTGCCAGCAATGCAATAAAACATTTCACAATGCGAGGCACTCTGCGGACATCATGCGGCAATTGGGTTTGCAGTGCAACATGTGGCGCTCGGTTGGGATCGCCGAGCAGCAAAAAAAAACTTAAGCAAAAATGCAACAAAAATCTAGAAATCCTATTCTCAAATCTCTCGCTCGCACTCTCCCACTCTCTCTTTCTCACGCTCGCACTCTCTTTCTCTCTCTGTTGTCTAGTCATGCTTGAAAAACATGTAAATAAATAATGCGACAAACACTTTAACCAAATAAAAGACAAACAACAACAACAACTAGAAATACCCTGTAAATAATAAATAGAAATGGCTTAGAATAACATTAATTTAATTTGTTTCGTAAAGTATTTTCAGTTCCTCTTTGAAGCATTTCAATTTTTCCACATAATACAATATTTGCTTTCAAATAGAGCCCGAAATCGTAATACTAAGTAACACCCTGTAGAGCCCCATTAATCAAAACCTATAAAGCCATATCCCTGGAGGGCGTGGCGTTCTTAGTTTTAGTGCTAGCTCACTGTTGAACTTCTCCAGAGATAGAGATCTTAATGCATATGGTCTGCCCCTTAGGGCGTGGCAGTCGAGAGGTTTGTCGAAATGAATTTGTATTGCTTTTCTAATTTGCAACATAAAAATTTATTTGCGATAAGGTTATGTTGCTTGAATTAAGCCAACAATGAGATAAAGCTCTAGAATTTCAGTGAAATTAGTTCAATTATATTATTAGTTCAATAACTAACCAAGCCACCCATTTTTTTTTTTTTGTTATAATAATCCGAAAATATATGCTTATTTTATTTTTGTGAGGTTAGGTTAGCATTTCTGTCCCAAAATCGAGAGTTAGGTTAATGTAACTATAATTAAATTGGTAATAATGATGGCTTAAGCATGTTTCAGTCGACTCATTTTAGGTTTTGTAGCGTCAATATTAGGTTTGATTATAAAAAGTGAGGTTAGAGCACATCAAAGTGTCATAGCATTCACCTAAAATTAGCTTTAACCTGCCTCGGAAATTTTAGCAATTAAAACTTGAATGTAACGGTCTTCTTCTTCTATTTTAGATTTCGGTTTCTGTTTTTGTTTCAGGTCGTATTTTTTTATATTTTAATTTAGATTTTTCTGCGTATGAAATTTTTTATCATAACTCATCAAAGTAGTTGCCAATGACAACGCTTTGGCCCTTTATTTTTCCGTGCCTCCCATTCCACGCCGTTGCGGTGAACGATGGGCGGAGGGCGGGCCGTGTGGGGGCGTGGTCAGTCGCGGGGCTTAAGGGTCGAGTCAGTGGATATTTGGCTTATCGCTGGAATGAATAAAGAAAACTTGAAAGCCTTTTAGCCGAGATATGCATATACACAGCACTCTCTCGTTCTCGTTCGCTCTCTTCATCTCTTTCACTTTCTCTCTATCTCTAGCTATCTATATATACACTCAAGTGCAAGAAAAAGGCAGTCGTTAAGTTTATTAAGTGCCCAAATGCAGATAAACTAAATGAGTGCATGCCAAATGGTGAGGGCGAAGGCGGCTGTGGCCAAGGCAAAGGCAATTTACGCAGGCAATGCAAGTTATCAAGTATCTTTGGACCCCCTCTGGCCCGGCAAGCGTTGCGCCTATGGAAAAGTTTCAAAGTAAACGAACAAGAGTGAAGAAGAGATAACAAACAATGTGCGGCTAACGGTGGTCGGGCAAATTACCGTTGCAAGCTGCAAAAACTTCATGGCGGACTGCAAAGATTAGCGCTATCAGTTAGCAGGAGAGAAAGAGACACAGATAGAGAGACAACGAAACAGAGCGAGAGAGACGTTAGCTTAAGAGCGCGACGGAGGAGTGGACGAGAGATAAAGCGAATGAGCGCGCTTTGACCGCATTAAACACAGTTTCAAGTGTTCACTTTACGCATGCTATATTCATATATACTAACACATATACATTTATATTTAAATGTATGCGTACATATTCTTATCTGTAGCAACCGCAGCAGCTGGGGGGAAAACAATAACAAATAATTATATTGTTATACAGAAAAAGTATGTTTTATAGCTGATAAGCAAGCAGCAGGGTTATTCACACACTGCGCACTAAAATTAAAATAAAAATAGAGCAACAAAGTCAATAAACCAAACATTTTAATTCATCGATTTTCAAATTCAAATTTTAATTCAAATTATTAACAGACGAATGCTAATTGGTATGCACAAATTGGCATACAATGTACTCAGACAAAAGCTAACTGCTGTAGATTTATCGGCTAACCGCGCAGCTATCAACAATTTGAGTGCTATGAAACCGCTTGGTATGGCAGTTGCATTTTATTTTTTTTTTGCTGTTTTTTTTTTTATATTTAGTACGCTGCGCACAGCTGTTGAAATGTGCGTTTCATATGAGCAGCAGCAGCAATAGGATTTACCCCATTTATCAGCTGTGTGCGTTAGTTGCGTACTTGCCTGGCTGGTCGACTATTTAGCCGCGCACTGCGCCAATTCGCAAAGCACTCAACATTCTGTTGCCGACAGCGACGCGGGCGTCGTGCCAGTGCGTGTTGTAGCCTTTTCTTTCGTTTTGTTGTTCCTATTCGCTTGTAAATAGAGCTACTTACTGTGTGTGTGTGGCTGGACTATATTCCATTTATTTTTTGTTTGTTTTGTTTTCGCTTTCATTTGTTACTTGAAATTAGCCACACCTAACGCGATGTCGCAGAATTGCAGCCCACAACAGTTAATTCAGTTCGTCAATTGCCGCTTGGTGCGAAATCATCAGCTGATCGTTGACGATCTGTGGGTGCGAGATGGCAAAATCATCAATCCGGAGCCAGTTTTCTACGATGAGCGGGCGACGGCGAACCAGCGCATCGACTGTGGTGGTGCGATCATCGCGCCCGGCTACATCGATTTGCAAATCAATGGTAAACAAGAGTGAAACAATTACAGCACAAGCAGCTGATTTTTCACTTTTAATACGCTGTCAAGGTCACATAACTTGCGTATATTAATCTAATCGCCGATTTGCCCCACTGTGCTGTAAGCACTAAAAAACTCGACAGTAATCAGAAAGACGAGAGGATGCATGAATAGCGATAATGGCCGAATTGCAAATCAACGGTAAACAACAAAACGAACTGTGTAAGCGCAAGTGAACGAGTGTTAGAGCAGTATAGCTAGCAAGCAAAGTTATGCATGCTGAGCCCGTTATGCACTCATTGCGCTTCTTGAAGAGTGCTAGAGCAGTGCATAGAGTTAGATTTTGCATGGTTTGCATATTTAAGTGTTAGAGCAGCACAGATAGCTGCAATACATTAACCATTCACATACATGATCAGCCTCTCTCCCTCTTTGTCCCGCAGGTGGCTATGGGGTTGACTTCTCCTACGACAAGGACACCATTGAGGCGGGCGTGCGCAAGGTAGCCGTCAGTCTGGTGGGCAGCGGCGTTACCTCATTCTGCCCCACACTCGTGACCTCACCCAATGACAGCTATCATACGATATTACCGCGTATGCCGCGACGCATCGAAGGCGGCGCCGGCATTTTGGGCGTCCATGCCGAAGGACCCTTCATTAATCCACAAAAGAAAGGCGCCCATCCAGCCAACTGCATTCAAACTATTGACAATGTGAGTAAATGTCCCACACATATGGGGCCTACTCAAGGAACGCAATTAACCAAAGAAACAGCAGAGCTAATTAACGGTTAAGTACGAGAGCCAGCAGCCAATCAAAATTAAGTACTCATAGTATATTCAGCAGTGCTATGGAACAATGTGCATATAGGGTACATTAGTTTTGTGCAATTATTTGAAAAATTTAAAGCTCTTATCAAAAATACAATATAATTATTGGTATAATTTTTCGATAGAGTTACCTAATTTTATCAAATTGTAAAATCTCCTTTCCTGTAATTGGCTAAATTTCTCTGACTTCTTTGCTTTGTTTAAGCTTATTGAAGCTTCTGTCCCCCCTTTTCATACTTCTCCCTTCTGTACTTAAACTTATTTTACGATAAAGTTACCTAATTTTATCAGATTGAGAAATCTCCTTTCCTTCTAATTAGCTAAAGTTCTCTGCCTTCTTTGCTTTGTTTAAGCTTCTCTCTTCAAAGCTTATTGAAGCTTTTCTCCCCTCTTTTCGCACTTCTTCCCAATACATACTACTTAAACTTATCTCTTCTATTCTCTCTCGTCGTTTCTTTCAGGGCATGGAGACGCTACGTTCGACGTACGGCGAGCTAGACCGCATTAAGATAATAACGCTGGCACCTGAGCAGGTGAGCGATGCGAACGTTATCGATGAGCTGGTGAGGGCGGGCATTACCGTCTCGCTGGGCCACTCGATGGCCAGCCTCAGCGATGGCGAGCGAGCCGTTCGCCATGGAGCCACTCTCATTACGCACCTGTTCAATGCGATGCTGCCCTTTCATCATCGTGATCCGGGCCTGGTCGGCCTGTTGACCTCCGATCAAATACCGCCTGGACGCATTGTCTACTTCGGCATCATTGCCGATGGGGTGCACACGCATTCGGCTGCCCTGCGCATCGCCTATCGGACGCATCCCGATGGCTTGATCTTGGTCACAGATGCGATCTCAGCCCTGGGCCTGGAGGATGGCATCCATCACATTGGCCAGCTGCCGCTGGAGGTGAAGCAGGGCCGAGCTTTCATAGCTGGCACCGATACGCTCTGTGGCAGCATAGCGCCCATGGACGAGTGTGTGCGCATCTTCCAAAGGGCAACAGGTGACTCCATCTGGAATAGCTTTCCCTTTCGTTCTATCTTAACTGTCTCCCCCTTTGCTCAGGCTGCTCCAAGGTCTTTGCCATAGAGGCTGCCACATTGCATCCGGCGCGCTGTTTGGGCATTGAACGTGAGAAAGGAACCCTGGACTTTGGCTCGGATGCTGATTTCATAGTGCTGAACGATGATTTACAGGTTCTATCCACCTGGATAGCAGGCGAGCGGGTTTACAAATCCAGCAACTGAGCCCTGCCCACGCTACAAACATTCTCTTTGTTGTCTATTTTGCTTCTTTGCTTTTGTTTTTTATTTTTTCACTTGTTTTATTTGGATTAGATGACGCTTTAATTTGTTCTTTAATATTTAATTATTAAATCATTTGGTGTGGACAACTACGCTAAATCCATATACATGTACAAATAATAAGTATTACGAAAAAAAACACATTTTATATTTATATAAATACACGCACACACGCATATGCACATTCATACATATATACAATTATAAATATGTATTTATGTGTGAATATGTGTGCATGGTTTAGGCGCTTTGGCGTAAGCTACGAAATGTTTCTCCGCCATTTTTTTTTTTTTTTTTTTTTTTTTGTTTTTTTTGCTCTGCTAGACAATTACATTTGCCAAAAAATAAATCGAAATACAGTTAATCATTACAATATGCAGGCGAATCGTTTCCCTCCTCACTTTCATACATATACTCTTTCCTAACCAATAACAAAACGGAAAGCAAGTTGCAGCTAAGCTAACTAACGGTTAAACGCAAATAAGCAGGCAGCCAATCAGAATGAAGTACTCGCAAGTATTTGTTATAGCATTACATACATGTATGTCTGTCTGTGTGTGTGTGTGTGTGTGTGTCTGGCTGTGTCTTGCAAATGTATATATGACAAATCATTATAGTTACAGTTACATGTTACAAGTGTGCCCGACAATTTAAAAAAAAAAACGCGTACATAATTGTTGGCATATTTTAAGTGATTTTTTTCTTCTTTTTTTTCGTGGTTTTTAAGTAATCATATACATATACAATATCAAGTGTGTTACACTGTGTGTGTGTGTGCTTGTATGTGTGTGAGGGAGAGGGAAATAGTGTTTAAGTCGCATGTGCGTCCGTTTCAGTTCCGTCTGTTCCACTGTTCGCTAAGTAGGGCCGCATGCCACAAATGCGCGTGACATGCAAAAATGCAGTTCAATTTTTTGTTGTTCTTGATATTGCTGCTTATCAATTTGCAGCTATAGCTGTTTCATTTTTCACTTGGTTCGGTTCGTTGTGCGTTTACAAACGTACGCTGTATTGTTGTTCTTTGTTTTTTTTGTTTTTGTTTTTTTTTTGTAAAATTACTCCAAATTACATTTATACAATATTATAAAACTTTAGGTAGGTTCTTTCTCGGTTGTAACTGCTATTAGTGTGTGTGTACGCGTGTGTCTATGTGTGTGTATTTGTCGCAGTTGATTGCTTGCTGTGTATAACAGTTAGCAGTATAACAATTATATACTGCTGGTCCGCCACTTTATGGGGTTATGACACTTGTTAGTTTTGCTTTAAGTTGGTTTTTTTTTTATTTTTTATTTTAATTAATTTACTTTTTAGCGCAGCATAGGAAATGTCATGTGTGTGGAAGCGAGACAGGATGCGCATGAGTACCAGTTCGATTGCAGGGTTGCCACCCAGTAGAAAACGCATTTGATTTTTTTTCTTTGTTGTTTTTCTTGTTCATATAGTAATAATAAAGGAGCTATCAAAAAGTTATAAAACACACACTCATCACACACACACACACAAACATGCAATTGCACGCACACAGTTAAAAAAAGCACTAGGTTTTTGCCAAGTTTGTTATATATGTATATGTATATATATATATTATGTGTAGGTATGTGTGTGTATGTATGTATGTATGTATATGTATGCATGTATGTATGTAGATCACAAAACCAACCGTGAACGTTAAACTAACAGGTGTCATAACCCCATTACGCACAACATTTGCTGTAGCTCGTCGCCTTATCGCTATTGCCGCGATCGATGACAACCCTTTCGGGATTCTCGGCCGATTCGCGGCCCGATGTTTTATCTAATATGGCCTCGGCAAGTTCACAAAATGCGCGCTCAATGTTTATATTTGATTTGGCGGATGTTTCCATAAACCGTATGCTGTGCTCCCTTGCAATCTACAGAGAGGGCGAGAGAGAGAGAGTGGGTGTGTGATTATGAGCGTAATTCTAAGAACTTTTGTTTATGTATGTGTAATTTACCGCTTCGCCGCGCTCTTTGCTGACAACTCGCTTGTCGGACATATCGCACTTGTTGCCCAATATCATCTTCTCCACATCCTCATTTGCGTGCTGAAACAAGCGAAAGAGAGTGAGAGAGAAAGAGGATGAGTGAATGAGATCGTTTGGGAATTTGATTGGATTTACTTACCTCGTCTATGTTCCGTAACCATTTGACTATATTCTCGAAACTTTTCTCATTCGTTATGTCATAGACGAGCATTATGCCCATCGCGCCACGGTAATAGGATGTGGTGATTGTGTGAAATCTCTCCTGTCCGGCCGTGTCCCATATTTGTAATTTAATTTTTTTGCCCCTGAGTTCGACTGTTTTGATTTTGAAATCGATTCCTGCAAGGCAAACAACAATAACAATCAATCAACATATAAATAGAAATGGCGAGAGATCGTTTCGCATAGTCCAATTACAGCAATGACGTCACAAGTTGAACTGGTTTATCGTATTGAATGAACATTTGATAATAAAATTTATTTAGTTGGAAGTTTGAATAATGCGTAGCCTTGTACATACATATATGTGAATCATAACACACACACACACGCCCATGCACTCAAGTATTTATATAGATATATATATATATGCGTCATTATTTTTAATCCAGTTTACCAACACTGTGTACATTAAATACCACAGCAGCGCCTGACTACAGCCAACAACAACAACAGCGCGCCTTATGCAGGCATCGAATGCGAATCATCAAGTCCAAAGGCTATCGCACGTACGTACATACCAGAATATATATGTATATATGTACCTGTATATATCAATATATGCATTCTTAACTTCAGCATTCTAGGGCCGGCTGACCACGCCCAATACGCACGGACAAGTGGCCGTGTCCTTGTTGTTTTTGGGCGCCGCCTACAAAATCTACACACACATACATAAACATTGGCAATTGACGATGCCGCTCGCCAGCACACACACATACACAGCAGGTCTGCAGGTACATGCACACACAAACACACACATGCATATGTCTTCACATATATGTATGAATGTGTGAAGTTATGTTAAGTGTGGACTGCGCCATTTACTTACCTATGGTCGATATAAATGTGGATGTGAATGCATCATCCGAGAAACGGAATAGTATGCAGGTCTTTCCAACGCCGGAATCGCCAATTAGCAGAAGTTTAAAAAGTAAATCGTACGTTTTCTTTGCCATTTCACGTTACGGCACTCGCACAACACACGCACACACACACAAACGTACGCACCTACACGCACACGCACAAACACGCTCGCTCACTACACACACACACACACACAGTGGCACTTGCACTCACAGGTTCTTTATAGAACAAAGCACATATATAGAGTGTAGGATTCAACAACAATTATGTCGATTGCTATTCGCCTTTGGTATGGTTTCTATTTGATGCAATTTGCGCGTTACTTAAGTGTGCAATCAAAAAAAATTCTACAGAACTTTTATACGTTTTAAGCACTTTATTTTTCTACGCAATGCAATTGTTGCTGTTCGCTTTCAGTGTGACCGCAGCGCGAAATGAAAAAATTACCCACACTCGGTATGAAACGTAAATGCAACTCTGCTTAGCTCGCGACCTACATCAATATTTATCAAAAATTTATTTTTCACTATAAACTGAATTCAGTCAATATACATAGCAAATACAATAAGCTACAGTTTCTATAAGCTTATACAATATTTTCTGCTAGTTATTTCTATGCTGACCATGCTAGCAATAGTTTTCGTGCATCAAGCAACCCTGTGTGCTGCCGTTGCTCAACACTGCAACCGCGACATACATATAAACAAGGGTACACAATAAATAAATATAAAGTGTAAACGTTTCGATTTGTGCACAAAATGGATCTGGACTGGCAAAACAGTCTGACAGAGATCAAAGATCGTGGCCAATATCTCTTACACTCAGAGAAATGGGCCGATTGTCGCTTTCTCGTTGGCACACCACCCAACCAACGCATTATATCGGGCCACAAGCTCCTTTTGGCCATGGCTTCGCCTGTTTTTGAGCGAATGTTCTATGGCAATCTACCGGACAAAACGGATCCCATCATAATACCCGATGTACAACCGGAGGCATTTGAGGCAATGCTCGAGTATATCTACACGGATCGCATAACAATCGGCTCATTCGACAAGGCATGCGAGCTGTGCTACGTGGCCAAGAAATATATGCTTCCACATGTGGTGACGCGCTGCACCCACTTCCTATGGGCGGATCTGAGTCCAAAGAATGCATGTCGTGCCTACGAGTTTGCCAAGCTGTTCGACGAGCCACGCCTTATGCAGAGCAGCATGGATCTGATCGCGGCCAATACCAGGGAGGTGCTCTCCGATCCCAGTTTCCTGGATATTGAGGTCTCCACTTTGATGGCCATATTGGATCAGCATCGGCTGAACATTGACTCTGAGCTGGATTTGTTCAATTGTCTGCTGAAATTCGCCAGCGAACGCGGCATTCTGAACGAGAACGGGAACGAGGAGGCGGCCAGTGGCAGTGGCAAATCCATCGCTTGTGCGGAACAAGCAGCCGCAGCTGCCAACGACATGATCGAGGAGATCAAAATGGAACCAGATGTGGCGGCCATGGTGCAGCATATGCACCAGGACGAGGACGTTGAGAGCTACAAGCAGCCCACTGGCAATGGTTCCGCCGGCAGCTCACCCGATCATCCAGCCGGCAGCAGCTGCTCCTCATCGACATCGAATGCAAATGCAAATGCGAATGCCAGCGCTGCCATTGTCAATGACGATGTGGTGATCATTGACAGCGATGCATCCGGCAATGCCAACGAGGAGGAGATGAACGCGGCGGAGGCAGCCGCCAATATGATCAACATGATGGACGCACAAAGGACGATCATGGACGGTGCAATGCTGCGGCAGGCCGTCAAGAAGATACGCTTCCTCACCATGACGCCGCAACAGTTTGCCGAGGGACCGGCACGCTCCAAGCTGCTCAAGCAGCACGAGGCACTCGCCATACTCATCAAAATCTCCAGTCCCACACTGAACGATTGCAATATGCCGGAGGGATTCTGCGTGTCGCGGAGCACGCGCAACTTTTACGAGTCGGCGCACAGGCAGCGGGAGCTCAGCTCCTCCTATCGGAGTGCCAATAATCCGACGAATGCAGCCAACGGCTTCCCGGGCCCCGCCACGCGCACCAACCAGCCGCTCTTCACGCGTCAACGCATCAGCGTACCGCTCAACCTGGGCGCCAATGCGGGCGCCGCGGCGGCCGCAACCGTCGATCATATACCCGCATATGGCTTTAGCTTTGAGGATGAGCCGCTGCCCATGCCCAATGCCGCCGCCTTTGGCGATGCGTACGACGGTCCGCCGCCGCCAGTCGCTGCAGCCGGAGCAGCAGCAGCAGCCGCAGCAGTAGCAGCGCCAGCGGCTCCTCCGCCCGGCAGTGACAACGATGTCATTGTGGCCAGCAATTCGCATCACGATATGACACGCTCCTACTGCATGCGCTCCATAGCCAGGCAGTTCGATTATCGCAATACCAGCGTCACCGACTGTGGCGTCACCTTTCAGGTATGTGGAGAGATCGGATAGAAATGAATCGAATGAAGCGAATCTCTAATTTGATTTGATTGCTCTTCTGCCAGGTGGACACGAACATTTGGATCCTGGGCGTGCAGGTGCCCACGCAGGTGCTTTGCGGCGAGCTGATGAATTCGGCTGGCTTTGCGGAGCGCTACACGGAGGTGCTCTACGCCCACATACAGGACATGCATGGATCGCGCATCACGTATACGCACTGTACGGCCCGGGTGCGATACGATTCGCACTTGGACATCACATTCGATCGGCCCGTCTACATCTATCGCAATCAGATCTACAAGATCTATGTGGTCTTCAACAAAATGGGCTGGTATCCGATGTATTCGTGTGTGCCGGATACGGTACGGCAGCGCGTCAAATTCATGTTCAATGTGGGCAATCCGACGGAATCGGTGCGCGATGGTCTCATCTATGCAATTATATTCTCGACGCCGCAGGATCATGCGCGGCATCTGATCGATTGATCGACTAAAAATGGACGAATAGCAACAACAACAACAACAACAACAACAAATGCGATCAACGAATTTGAGATGTGATAGATTTTTGTTTCCATCCCAATTTGCTTGCTTACTGTCTTTCCATTGTTCCACAATTAGTTTTTTCGGTAGCACAGTGAAATCTGGCATTGACGGACGACTTTACAGCGTTTATCTCTTCCCTATTCTTTTTTCTAGTTTCTTAAGTCAACTTCTGCTTTATTAATAAATACTATATTTAAAACTAACAAAATTGTTGGAAATTCTTTATTAACTAAGTAGGACGAGTTGTGGCGGTACATGAATATATACATATATATGTACATATATGTTCTTATAGTCGAAGGGGTCTAAATTGATTTCATATCCTGTACTTCAACTAGACAGTAGATAGGAAGGTTGTAAAGAGAAAACAAATAGATAGATCGAAAATAGATAGAAAAAAAGGAGTAGATAGATTGATAGATAGATAAATAACTAGAAGATAAACAGGTATAGTAGATACAAGCAAAGTAGATAGATGGATATATAGGTAAATAGATAGATAGATACATATGTAGTAGATAGATAGATAGATAGAGATGTAGTAGATAGGGATGAAGTAGATAGATAGAAGATAGAAAGGAAGTAGATAGATAGATAGATACATAGATAGAGATGAAGTAGATAGGGATGAAGTAGATAGATAGAAGATAGAAAGGAAGTAGATAGATAGATAATAGATTTCAGATAGATAGACTTCATAAATCATTCGGTTAGTTAATAAGTAGTTATTGTTGGGCAATTTAGACCCTAGACTCCTAGACTCCTAGAGTCCTGAACCCCTCAAAAAACTGTTTTTTCTATGCACGCACACAAGCAACACATGCACACACACACACACACACTCTGCTAACTGCTCAGTTGAAGCAATTCACTTATCTGAAACCATAGAGCAATTACTTCTATACAAAGATTAATAGATATATAAAATAAACTCTAAAATGATTCCAAGAAGAATATTAGGAATCAGGCAAGAGTATTAGAATTAAGGCCAATTCTAATTTTTGATGTTGAATCTAATGATAATAATATAATATTATACTATATAGTTGCTGTAAATGGATGGAATGTATTGGAACTTTTCATTAATACATTAAAAGATTCATATCCAAATAACATACATATACTTTACATACATATAACTTCATATATATGTACATATATGTATACTTTATATATATACTTTCATATATACATACATACATACATATATACTTTATAAATATACCCTTATACGCCACATATATTATCCGATAATTTTACTCGAAATAAAACCAAATTTTGTTTCAAAAATATTACAATAAATAAATTTAAACTTTATTGCATATAGAGCTCAATTGGAAAGTAACAAAAAAGATATATAAAAAAAATATACAAAAATTATATGAATTGGAAGAAAAAAAAACAAGTTATGTTAAATGATCGATAATTATTGCAATATTTGATGCTAGGAAATGAGAGCAAAGTGCGAGCGGGATAGCCACAGAGCAGGTGCACAAGATATAGAGAAAGAGAGAGAGAGACGGATAGATATACAGATAGCTATAGATAGTGTCATAGAGAGAGAGAGAGAGAGAGAGAGAAAGAGCGAGTCAGCGAAGCTTTACATATGTACAGTTGAGTGTGAGCTGCTTTGTTGTTGAACAGTTTCTTCTTCTTCTTCTTCGTCTAGCTGCAGTTACTACGGTCACACTATTTGCCATAGTTGGCACAGCTGCCGCTGGCATATTCGGGATCCTCGCAGGTGAGCGTGTGCTCGTCGAAGACCTTGTCCTCGCCGCAGCTAATCAGACGTGGATAGCCCTCCACGCAGGTGATCAAGCGATGGCAATCGCCCTGCACGGGGAACCGGGGGAAGGGCCAGAAGCGAGCGGCCACCGAATTGGGATCGACCTTTGTGGGACACTTGAAGCCAACAACAGCTGAAAGAGAAATCAAGAGATATTAGAATAGATCTGGGCGTTAGCCAAATGACTAATCGATTAGTCGATTCATGGATATTTATTGATCAATTCAGTTAAAGTAGCTAAGAAATAATGCTGAGCTGATTTAATAACTCGATTCACAAGGTTCAGCTATAGAGGATAGTACAGTAACAGACAGGAACTAGTGGAACTTGTAGTTCATGAACAATTGACAAAAATCGCTCATGATCGAGTATTAATGAATAGCTGAATAAGATCAAGCTGATTAAGTAAAGCTGTGTAGGCGAATCAGTGGTGGTGGTGGCTGATCAGTGGTGATCCTTATCGCTACACTGATCACTAAAAGAGTTGAACTAGTTCATTTGAATGAGTCGTTCAATTAAAGTTGCTGCTAAGCCATATAAGATCTATTATCTCAGACTCTCACCCTCGGGATTGCAGTGATCGAGCAGCTGATCGGGCCAGTTGCAGCCATGGATGCGCTCATCGTACGCCAGACCCGCATCGCAGTCCTGTTCGTGGGGCTCGCCGTGGGCGCATTTGATGTAGGTGGTGGAGCATTCCTTCGAGACGGCATACAGACCAAACTGATACTCACAGCCAGGTGTCGAAATGGGCGTGGCTAAGGCAGAGAATCAGAAAGAGAGAAAGGAAGAGAGAGAGAGAGAGAGAAATTAATATCTTCAATTTGGAATCGTCTTTCATACATACATATATGTACATATATCGATTTCGTTACTTACGATCCCACTGACGACCTTTGCAGTCAACGGCCCAGTTGTAGTTGCAGTGATTGTGCACAGCGCCCTTGCCATCGAAGAGCAGACCGTTCTCGCAGGTCTCCAGGGTCAAGGTGCCGTTGGTGCAGAGGAAGAACTGATCACAGTTCTCGGTGTGGGCGTAAGCCTGGACGCCATGCTTCTCGGGGCATTCGGGTGTGCCAACAGCCAAAGCATTTGCTGTAATACAAAAAACAGAGACAGTTAGCGATCGTTATCGATATCGATCTTAGTATCGATTGTAAGTGAAATCGATTTTCATGTGAGGATTGAGTTTTTATTATCATTGTATGCATATATGTAATTATATGCAAATAAATCATGGGGAATACTTATCGTTATCGATTATTATATGTTGTCGAATTACTTATTATCAATTATATACACATATATACATATACACATATATAAATTGGCATAACTTAGCTCTACCACTGGTCAGTGGCTCTACAGAATAGGCAATCATTATCGTTATCGACATAGTTATCGATAGAGCTTATTTATCGAAAACATACTTTATGAATCAGTATCAATATTCAACCAGTTTTAGCTCCATGCCATTTGCTTTAGAACTACCTTGTATTGCTATCGATAGTGCTATCGATATCGCTAAAATAATCGATTTCTTATTGAAATTACTTTCGTCATTTAACTAGTTTCTATTCCGTCTTTTACATTTGCTATCATGATTACACTAAATAGCTGCAGTTAAATATAAGTTATCGTTATCGATAGTAAGATTGTTCAAGTAATCGATTGAAATGACAATCTATAGATCTGTAGCACTCTCTTGCCACTTGCAAGTGAGGTACTTTGCTATTGTTTACTGTGTGATATCGTTATCGTTATCGCTATTATTATCGTTATCGTTATCGCCGCCGTATCAAACTGTCTCGCGTGTCGAGGAAGTGTCGCCCTCATTACTATTCCCCATTGATGCCAATGGCCATTATTAAACTTGAAAGCGCACACTTCCTTCCTACCCAGCGACTGTCAACTGGTTTCGCTAAGTGTGTTGCTGTCAGTGTTGCAAGTGCAAGTGTTGTAAGTGCTTGTCAGTGTGTGAGTGCGAATGTGAGTGTGAATGTGACAGGCTTTCGGCTGATGGCTTACGGCTTTCGAGCATCTTCGCGTCTAGCGCCGGCGTTGGATGATGTAACCGAGGCCCAGAGATTTGCGACTTGCCTCGGGCAACGGGTTAAAGCACCGCAAACTGTTTTCATTTTCATTTTAATTTTCATTTTAACTGCTCGCTGTTGATTTCGTGCGGCATTTGCAACTGTTTATGCATTTGCTTAACACTGCTAAAGATTTCCGGCAATTAATTTACCAACACTTATCGATAATTTTCTGTCCGAAAATAAACGTTTAACGTTTCGCAAAAAAAAAAGTAGCGAAATATGTTTATTCGTTTGTTAATTTTTGTACAATTTCTTCACTTCAACCTTTTGAAGTCGCACAGAAACTCGTTGGGCCGACAACATTTCGAGACGTTTTTTTTTTCAGCTTTGTATTTGTTTTTTTAGATCGAAATTTTATAATATCCAATGTGATTAGGTCTAATGGTGAACTGGTTTGACGGGCCGAGTTCTGCTTTGACTTTGTAGCTTTTAAATGTTTGGCATTTGTTTTAATTAGGGTTCGAATACGTAGACGAATCAGACAAATACACTGCACGAAAAGTGCGTGTACTAAGCGAAGCTATAAATAAGCTAAATAAAAAGGGGTCTCAGAGGAGTTAAAGTTTGCCTCAAAAACTGCATCTAGCGTTAATTATTTGTAAAAATATTTATATTCTTTTCATTTTTATTATTTAATTTATTTTTTAGTTAATATTTATTTTTAATATTTAATTAATTTAATATTTCTTTTTTATCATTCATTTTATATATCTAATTAATTAATTTGTAATATTTCATTATTTTTTATATTTATGAATTTATGAATTATTAATATTTATTTATTATTAGTAATATTTTTCTTATGTTATAAGGTTAAAAACCTTTCACATAAAGTTACGCTTTTCGTTGACTTTCATACGATTTTTTTTTTTTGCTCAGTGTACCAAGAGAAAATCTTTAAAGCTGATTTAGCTGTTTGACTTAATCATTTATTAATTTTTTTGAAATATATTTTTCCCAGTTTTGCGGTGTAAATATAGAATTCATAAACTAAAAAATAAATCATATACTATAAATACGGATTTGCTTAAATTTGTATTGTACATGTGAATAAGTGCCACAGTGTAAATAGCTTTTTTTTCACAGTGTATTTAACTTGCAAATATATAACAAACTAACAGCAATAGAACTTCATGGAGCTCTAGAATTGATTGCTTTGGGTGATGTTTCCGCTTGATCTAAAGCACCAAATCCAGCATAAATTTTAAACTTAAGCACACTTCCTCTCAGTGTAAAATGCTTTGTTTTATTTATTTAAAATATGATTATAAATAATTAAGCTGAGCTGCGCTTAAACTCAAATTGCCTACATTATTTTGCAACAAAAATTGGCTCAGTGTACACGACAACCACTTAAAGACTTTATATAAGCAGCTTTAAATGGAGATGTAATATTTTCGTAATGCATTTCAGCTATTTTTGGATTCCGTTCCAACTCTAAGCAATATTTGTCTCAGTGTATCTCTCAGTCATCTAGCCACAGCAGACACCAACTGGCTCAACAAAAGCAAAAGTTATAAACGATCAGCTCAGTGGAATACTGGATCTGCATGCCAAATGAGCTTGAGAATTCTAGGTAGCTATCGTAGCTGTAATGGGGCGTATTTGAACACTCCCCCCTGGCCCCTGCCCACTGTTAGCAGTAAACCAAGCTGTTCAGGGTTAAATGACAACGAGCTGCTGCTGCTACTGCTGCTGGCTAGCTAATTGGAGCAGAAAGGCGAATGGGAGGCAAGCCTTTGGCATAGCCTTGAAGCTGTCCAACCAACAGTAGACAGTAGACCCAATCCAATTCGAGAACAACAAGCCAATAACCCAATTAGAAAATGTTGCCATTCCAATTGGCGTACAATTCGTTTTTGAAAGTAAAAGCTCAGCTCAGGGCTTAGCACGCTATGGAAGGGGGTTGCGCTAATGCCAAATATGCACATGCCAGCTCGCATTCCAGCGACAGCTGCACAGGTTGCACAGCTAGCTGTAAGTGTAACGATAACAAAATGGCGGCCACTTACCGTAAGCAATGAATGCCAGGATCAGGACGCAGCTTAGTTGTGCGCGTTGCATGTTGGCGGCGAAGACGAAAACGTAACTAACGGTAACAGCAACAGCCGAGAATGGCAAGCAGGCGACAAAAAAAAATCAATCGATTTGAGAAAAAAAAATAAACAAAAATAATAACAACAACAAAAACAACAATGGCAATGACAACGGCAACGACAACGCTTCAATTTGAATTCAACAGCGCGACACTTGAAATTCCGCTGCACGTTTTAACGGTTACGCGTTCCAAACTCAACTGAAAAGATTTATACCGCGCTCAAGAAGAAGAAGCAGCAGCAGCACCACCACCAACATTGGCCGTAGCGCAGCGGCAGCGGCAGCAGCGCCGCCCGCAGCAGCGATCGCGGCGACAGCAATAACAAAAGTTTTGCAAAGCTTTATTTTTTGGCGTTTCGTATTTGAATTTTGTTGCCGAGCAGCACAGTGGTATAGCGCGGGGGGAGGGGGAGTATTCGCAATGTGTGGTGGGTGGGTAGCTGGGCAATTAAAAGGGGTCGCCAGGGGCAGAGGCTATGCGGACGCTAATACATGTGTATGTGTGCGCAGGTACTTAGGCAAGGCAGAGCATGCGTGCGTGTGTGTGTGTGTGCGCAGGTACTTAGGCAAGGCAGAGCAAGCGTGTCTGTATGTGTGCGCAGGCACTTGGGCAAGGCAAAGCATGCGTGTATGTATATGTTTATGTGTTTATGTTGTCACAGCGAAGGCGCGCGCGCGCAGCGTTTGATTGAACAATTTTTGGTACAAAAACAAAAATGCAAAACATGATTTGGGCTTTTGCTGCTGCTGTTGCTGCTGGCAACATGTGTGATTGAAAGTAAAAGGCAAAGCTCAAGCTGCTCGTAAGCTTACCATTCATTGATTGCATTCGGGCTGCGGGCTTCGTGCATCGGCTAAGCTACGTCGTCATCGTCGTCGTGTTTGTTGTTATTGTTGCTGTCTGCATTGTGCTTGCCTTCGTCTTGCCGATTACCGTTACATTGTTAACTATTGCAACACTGTTTGCCGTTGCTGCTGGCTGCTGTTATTGTTGGTGTTGGTGTTGGTGTTGCTGTCTGTGTGGCCAGCGAGAATTACGTAACATAACTTAGTGCGCTGCACTTCGTTTTAGGCCGAGCATAACAGTTACATCGTCGTGTTTGCCTATGCAGACTTGAACGCACACATTCATTCAAATACAGTATTACAAATAAATTGATAACAATTTGAAACGAATATTCAGATTGTAATTTATTATTATTATTTAATTAAGATGTTGTATTGGGTTAATCATTAAGTTTACTGTTACTTCTACTAATTTTATGAGCACCGCTGTATGCATGTATGTATGTATGTGCCCTTTGATTGACAGGCAGATCTGTTGTCGTAAGACTATGCTGTATGTACATACATATGTATATACTAGATATACAGTAGAAGCCGGTATAAAGGCACTCAGGGGACCGTCGTTATACCCGGAAGGCCCTATAACCGTATAAGTTTGCTCATAAAAGTTTGTCTGGTGACCAGCATTTTCGTCGCATTAACCGTATAGATGCTATAAGCGGAGTCGTTATAACCGGATTCTACTTTATATCATTTTTAATTTGTATATAAATATATAGGATATTTATATAGTGCATATACATACATACATATTCTCCTCAGTCACACACACATACATATACACATGTACAATTATACACATCTATATACCTAACATTTAAGTAAGGATATTCAAAAGTCAGCAGACCTTTGACTGCATTTGCCCAGTGTTAACCCGTTAGTGCCCGTTAGTGCAATTAACGGTTATTGTGTTGCTGTTGACAAAGGGTTAATAAGACGCGTTCAGCTTGCATGGCAGCAACAGTAGAGCAGGAGGAGGAGGAGACGGGAAGAAGACGGCTGATGGAGAATCGGTGGAGGAGGAGGGCCTGAGCAAGGGGAGGGGTATGGAGTATCAATTTCATAATAAGATGCGAATAGATTGAGCCAGCGAATTGTGGATTTATTATTATATCGATTCGCCCTCGATTTGTTCGTAATTTGCACGTATACATAAGTATGTATGTACATATATCCAATACATCTTCAGCATTTGTCAGATAGTTGTAGTAGGAAAAATAATAAGCAAATAAATGAAGGGAAAAAAACAATTGGCATTATTTCAAGTCTTGTTATTTAATCGAATGAGTTGGCAAATGTAAATGAACTGTTTTGTTGTTGATGTTGTTGGTGTTGCTGTTGCTGTCATAGTTATTGTTGTAAATATTACGATCGATCTGTAATCGGGAAAGGGACTTACAATAGAAAATGGGGCTGGAATTACGAAAGAGAAAGGTAGGAAGACAGAGAAACAAAAAGAAAGGGATATTGAAGAACAGAACGAGAGAGAGAGAGAGAGAGAGAGAGAGAGAGAGAGAGAGAGGATGAGCAAAGGAAAATTGGAGATAGAAAGAAAAAGAGATAAAGAGAGAGAGAGAAACAGATAGAAAGATAAAAATAGAAGTAAAAGGGGAATAGATAAAAGGAAAATGAGAGAGAAAACAGGAGAGATATACATAATGAAAGAGATGTAGAGAGACATAGAGGGAAAGAGAGAGAGACCAAAAATTACTTTTTTCTCTCTAAAAAGAGAGAAATGGAAAGAGAGCGAGATACATATATAAATATTAATAGCGATATATTAAGACTATGAAATAAAAGGAGAGAGAGAGAGACAGGGAGAAATTAGAGAAAATCTCTCTCTTTTTCAGAAAAATAAGTACATATAGAGAAACATTGAGAAAGAAGACAGATGTCAAAGTGAGTAGCAATAGATCGAGACAAGGAAATAGAAATAATAGAGAGAGCGGCAGTGAGAGAGAGAGAGAGAAAAAGAGGAAAAATAAGTGAATAGTTAAAAATAGATCGCATAAAGAGAAAATGCAGAAGATTTTTATATATAAATAATTTTAAATAATATTATATATAATTATATCATGAATATTCAGGAAGACTTCAAGAAGCTTATATGCAAATAAACTCAGGATCTTGATCTTTTAGTAAGGATACGCTTAGTAGAATAAAGAAATGTAAGTATAGGTTATGAAGAAAGGAAGATCGTGAAAGATAGAAAGTGAAATATTAGAAAATGTATATAGAAAGTTCAGCCTCAGATGAAGGAAAAATCAAAGATGAAAGAGCAAAGATCAAAGACCAAGAAATAATTGAAGATCAATGACGGAATTAATGAGATGAAGGATTCAAGATCAAAGATGAAAATAGAGTAACTAGAAATAAAACATTAGTGAAATGAAATCCGAAATTAAGCAGCTGAAAGCTAAGAAAGAAATAATTATAGTGTGTATTTGATAAAAATATACGATAGTTGAGAATATAGAAAAAAAGGTTGTAGAAAAGAATGTAAAAAAGTGCAGATAGTGTATAGAAAAAGTTTATTATTTTTTATTATTCTTGTTTTTTGTAATTCTTTTTTTCTTTTTGTGTTTAAACAAAGAGGAAATATATACACAACGATAGATCAGTTAAAGAGTATAGAAAGAGGAAATACAGTAAATGAAAGAGAAAACGAGAAAGAAAGTGTGCGTAGGGAAAATAAGAACAGATAGCGAGTTAAAAGTCAAGTAGGGAGTCGAAAGTAACGAGTAGCTTATCGAATGTAACGAGTAAGGTAAAGAGAGTAACGAGTAACCTGTCAAAAGTCACAAATAGCGAGTCGAGAGAGTAAGCTAGATAAGAGTAACGAGTACCTAGTCAAGAGTAACGAGTAGCGAGTCAAAAGTAACTAGTTGAAAATAACGCTTCACAAGGAGGCTAGCAACGACTTTTAGTTTAACTGACTAACACGCGCGTCCTTCCGCCGTCCTGTCAGTCCGTCCAAGTCTAACTTAATATGTGTGTGTGTGTGTGTGTGTGTGCCTTAGACGCGCGCAAGAATGGGCGTATATGATATTTTGTTTGTTGTTGTTGTGTTTTCTTGTATTTTTTTTATGATATCAGCGGATGGGATGAAGCTCAGCTCCTGGACGAGGGCTTCTTGTTGGTGCCGTCATCATCGTCGCTGGTATCCTTGTACCAGTCCTCGCAGCCGGGCACATTTTCGGGCGCATCGCACATCTCAGTCACGTCGTTGTAGACCTCGCCCAGCTGGCAGCCCAAGTCTCTGGGATCCTCGCCGTTCAGGCAGACATAGAACTTTTGGCAATCGGTGGGATGGGGATATTTCGGATGGCTGACAACCTGGCCGCGCGCATCCATTTTGGGCTGATCCTTGGGGCACGAGAAGCCGCTCTCAGTTTTTTCTACAAATGTGAGAAGAGGTGAAAGAACGAGCGGGGCGAGAAACAGGGAGAGATTGGATTGTCAAGGATCAATGAGTTAGTTTTGCTTGTCTTTGGGCTTTCAAGAATTCAGCACTCACTCTCTGGATCGGCGCAACCCTCACGCTTGGCCGTATCCGGCCACACGCAGGTGCCGGAATACTCGTCGAAGTGCAGGCCAACGGTACACTTCATTTCCAAAGCATCGCCCTCAATGCAATTGTAAAAGATGTTGCAAATATGCGGCTCCGGATGGGCAAAGAAACCATTTTTGCGCGGACAATACTTAGTGGACTTGGGCTCCTCTATAGGAATTCAAATAGATAAACATCAATGTTACATATATACATAAATATACTCGGTATTTCGATAGGGTATTTGGGGAATTACTTACGCAAGAGCGTGCGATCCTCGCAGTCCACATTGAAGGGCTGATCGCATTTGTTGATCTTGCGATTCAGTGGATCGAAGACAAGGCCATCGGGGCAGAGTTTTGCCTTGGGCACACCGTCCGAGCACTCATAATATTTGTCGCATTGCTCTTCATCGGCGAATTGGCCATTGGGTTTGGGGCAGTCAAAGTCGACAGCGGCGACTGCGCAGAGAAATGGAGAGAGCGAGAGAGAGAGAGAGAGAGAAAGAGAGTTCATTAAACTTATTGCCTTGCTTTCACTCCGACCTCGGTTTTCCTGCTTGTGAAAAGTGTAACAGCTTGGGAAAAAGCAAGCAGCAAAAAAAATAAATAACTGATCGATTGATCGATTTGACTTTTTCTTTTCATTTTTTTGTATTATTTATCTCATTTTTCCTGTTTGCGGTTGCATAAGCGCACGCCCAGTCCCAGTCCCAGTTCTAGTTAACAGTTTGATCGGTTGCCAGTTCCAGTTTCAGTTTTTCATTCCAGCGCCAGCCGGTTTATCGTTTACCCGTTTCGCGTTCCCCGCCCCTCCCCACACTGCTATCTCCTTCTCTCTCTCACACACACATACACACACGCCCATTAAATCCATGCAAATGGCAACTTAAATGTCAGACAGGGTCGACCCATGGCATATAAAAGAACGCATTGCAATGTGTGTGTGTGTGTGTGTGTGTGTGTGTATGTGGCTAATCAATTGCAAAGCCTGCATATACCGTTAGCTAACGGACAGCAGCTAATGGCTGTAGCGAGCGCAGCTGCGTACACCAATGCACACAGACAGCTACAAGCACACACACACACATACGCACACACACACATGCGTAGCCAATGTCAAACTGATTAGCACAAAGTTGCCAATACAAGATTTTAACTTATTTATTTATTTTATAAGTTTTTTTTTTTTGTGGTTAAATAAAATTAATGCATATTTTGTCACTCACTTGTCGCCGCCACACAAAGCATCACAGCAATGGCACATAAAAATAATTTCATTTTGTATCTTTGATTTACAACTAGATTTACATAAAAAAAAAAAATAGATATATATATGTGCTCCTTGAAGCAGGAGTTGGAAAAAAAATGATATTTTCTTCTCAGCACCAACTAAATCGCGACTTAAGCGTGCGATGGTTAAACTTAAACTAACAACGGAACGCCAAAGAGGCGCACTTTTCAAGACTTTTTTACCGGTAACGGCGCAACGGCAAACGCGGCAATGCGGCGACGCCAGCAGCGCCGTTGGCGTCGCAACGTTGGCGACGATGATGCTTGGGCGCAGGCGCTAAGCCATAGCCTGGAAGATGGCGGCGGCAGCGCAGTTCGCGCAACGCGCCGCAGCGAAGAAAGGCAAGGCAAGGCAAGGCAAGGCAAAGGCAAAGCAAAGTTGTAATGAAGCAAGTAAATACATATGTATGTACATACATACATACTTACAGATGTTTTTCTGTACGTACATGCGCGTATCTGTATGTTTGCACGTACATACAAATGTATATTCAATTTGTATGTGCCTGATGAGAAAATAAAAATCAAAGAGCTAACAAAAACAAATAACAAAATTCATATGCGCCAACGCTTTAGCCGAAACTTCGCCGGGTTAACGACGCGCATGCAAATGCTTCGACAATTTACAGCAATAAAAAAAAAAGTCAAAAATAACCAAAAATAACAACAATAACAACAGCGACGACAAAAGGCAGACGCAATTGAAAGACAAAAGTCACAAAGCCTTTCAAATCGCAGCCATAACAAAAGTGCAGCTATACATACATATATGTATGTAAATATTTATGTATGTATGTGTATTCGCTTCTGTTTCTGCATTAACAAGTGGCCACACTTTATAAATAACCAAATTACACTGCAGCCTTTCTCTTACGTGGCCAGCCTTGCCAGATGCCAGGACAAACTCGCCTTGAAACAGGAAACCAAAATGGCGAGAACTACATGTATGTATGTAGGTATGTATGTGTGAATGCATGTGTGGCAAGCCATGCTGACAAATGTATGTATCTGATGATTAACGAAATATGCATAATATATGTACACACATACACATACATTTATGTGTATATGTAAATGTGATTATATGCTAAATGTGACGCACACGCAATGCCCCGAAAAGACAACAACAAAAACCCGTTGTCCTTGGACAGGCCGGCAAAACAGCGCGAGTATGTTCAAAAACAAAAACAAAATCAAAATCAAAATGAAAAACAGGCTAACCCAACCTATAAAGCAGTTAGCAACTAGTTAAAGTTAATTTAAAATAATAAAAACCCACACACAAACATACATAACTTTTACTCTCGTTCGAAAACAGCAAATCGAAAAAAAACAACAACAAAATGGCAGTCTGGCAACTTCCAGCGACTTCTAAGAAGAAAAAGCAACAACAACAAAAATTTTAAGTGAGCAATTTAATTGCAAATTATGCGCGTATCGAATTGTAGATATCTATATCTATCATTATAAAGCGTTTCCCTATAGCGACTGGCTCACATAGACAGTTATACAAACATACATACATACATACATAAAAACAGCTTTTGCAATTAACTAAAAAACAACTGTTAAATCACTTTGTTGCTGTAACCACAGACAGATGCGCTGATTTATCATGAGCAACAGCATCATTATCATCATTATTAGCATTATCATTATCGGTATCATTATCGGGTTGCAACTTGGTAAGATTTTGTAATTCAAGGTTTTCTTTATGTTTGTTTTAAGAGAAAAAGAAAAAGCTTCAGCATTCATTTGGCTACTAAAATACAAGTTTGCTCTCAGGACATCAGAAGAACGACTAACAGATACCCTACAGTTTCGAATCATTCTAAACCCATTATACTAATTAAGAAATCTTTAATCATGCAATGAAATGCTTTAAACATAAAATTAGCCAATAGTATAGAGTATACCCAATCCACCTAGCACGTACAGGGTATCCCCTATCGCAAGAATGCCCGCTTGCATTCTGCTTTTACAGATGCTTCGCTAAAATGTTCATCCTCGTTCGAGATCAAAACTTATTCAGCATACCCAACTGCATTCAGTTTGTACAGGGTATTTCCCATCACAGTAATATATTTGATATTTGATCTAGATAAAAAGTACAGAGCATACCCGCTTGCATCCATATCTGGTACAGGGTATTGGCCACCATCAGCTTTGGCGATTCACACAGATGAGTTAATTTTTAAAGGGAGTTACGAAATCGATGCATATGCAATTTATAGGTCATCCAGTTTTTTGGTTGTTTTTTCTTTTTGTTTCTTTTACAAAATCAAGATGCGCCAACCCAAATATCAAGCTAATTGATGAAGAGGAAGAGGATCAGAGATAACCAAGATATCGAATAAATATGCATATGAATAAAAAGCTAAAGAAAAACACAAATAATATAAACAAATTAAAAGGCTGGGCGTGCTGGCAGTCAAAAGTGAACGAACCGCCAACTATGTCAAAGTCAGAGTATGTGTGTAAGTGTGTGTGTGTGTGCGTGTGGGTGCCATAAGCTAGAGCTAGAGCTATTAACTCTCTTTCACATGGCATTTGTTGCCATCAGGTCAGCTATACACAATTAGCAGTTAATTGCATACATACATACATACACATATAAAAAGGGTCACTTAATATGCCAATTGCAAACGATTGTCCCGTTATGTTGCATTGCATGACAATCGCATTGAAAATGACAATGACAATGCCAACAAGTTCTCTCGTTTAGCTTTCTATTTCCATTCTTACGATTTCACTTGACGACCAAATGTCTTGAGTATTAATTAATGTCAGCTTGATAGTTCAACGAAACAACATTTTCTTTTACCCAGGCTAACAACAAATTTATACATGGCTTTAATAGCTAGCTAGCTAATGCAATACCAGTTAATTTTTAAAACTAGGCGCGCTCTCACAGGCACTGCCAGCATAAAATAACGTTCTTAGGTGCTGCCACACAAATTAAATAACAGCTTAATTTACTTTATTAAATGCGTACATGTATTTTACAAGTATTAAAACTATTTGCATATGTCAATAAAAGTTAAGTAACTTAAGTAAATATTTTAACGCCTTGATTTGCATAATTTAAATTCTAAACATGCTATTATTGCACACATTATTTAGAAAAGTGCTGCCACACTATTCAGCCAAATAACACACAGTGCAGTATTTTTTGTGCATCGATTATTTGGTAATTTTTCATTGTCCATTGCGGTCACACTAGATCTATTCGCAAAACATTGCAGTCGCATTTTCAATTGGAATAAAATGTTATTTTAATTACAATTGGAATATATACTAATTAGTTTGCAAACAACATTTCAAGGTGCGTTATTAAAAATGTGTTTTGAGTTCAAGTACTGCGTGCTGTGATGTATTATTTTATGCAATGGCTGTAAGAAAGAAAAATGGGCACACCAGCGAAATAGTGGAAAACGACGTCACAACGGCGACAGCGCTGTCGCTGCCTCAGCAAATGCTGCTGCTCATCTTTGAGTATTGATTTTTTTTATGTGTGAGTGGGTGCCTGTGTGTGTGTGTGTGTGCTGGAAGTTGTATTGGCTGCAATACAATTTGCACACATACACGCAGGCAGAGTTAACTTTTGGCCAGTTAATGTCGTTGTTCTTGTTGTGGTTAGTGGTGACATCATCAAAACCAGCTGCGCTTACCAATAATGCTTACAACTGATTCATCGTTTGACTTTTTCTATGAATTTTCGTTTCTTTTGTGCTGCAGCTTTCGAACTGCACTTGCTGTAGTTGTAGTTGTTGTTGTTGTAGCACCGGATTCGCCTGAAAAACTCGCCCACCCCCAACTCCTAATCGAAGAGCAGCAGCTGTGCACAGTGTCGAGTGTTACCACACCTCAAAAATGGATCGAAAGGCTGAGCTGGAGCGCAAAAAGGCCAAATTGGCCGCACTGCGCGAGGAGAAGGATCGCCGGCGCCGAGAAAAGGAGATCAAGGACATGGAAGAGGCAGCCGGTCGCATTGGCACCGGCACCGGCATCGACAAGGACCAACGCAAGTCAGTTAACCCATATACATATGAATATAGTATTCAAAAATACATAAATTATAATTATACAATTTGCTTGCAGAGATCTAGATGAGATGCTTTCGTCGCTAGGCGTTGCGCCCGTTTCGGAAGTGTTGTCCTCGCTGTCTTCAGCCAATTCGCTAACTTCGGATAATTCCAACACACAAACGCCCGATGTTAGCTTGCAAGCCAATGTGAATGGACAAGGGTATATATAACATAGCATATATAGATATATTTGTTATATAGCAGCAATTGCAGTGAGCAATGTCTGTATAGGATTAGAATTTTCTCTTAGCTGCAGTTGCTTATATATTGCATTATATATAAAATTCTTTAATATAATCTAATTGTTATTCTGTTCTATTCTAGCGCCGGCAAGAAACAACCTTTGAATCTGAGCGTATACAATGTGCAGGCCACAAACATTCCACCAAAGGAGACGCTCGTCTATACGAAACAAACACAGACCACAAGCACCGGCGGACATGAACGTGATGGTATGATATATATGCTCTATATACACTATATATGTTTACCAATTATTAACCATGCTAGCTAGTATTTAATACCCATAACAATGTCTTATACTATAAATACAATATATACAAATATATATGTATATTAAAAAAAATTTATATATATATATTTGTATAGCTCCTGTGTAGACACTTTCCATAGTTTGTTTTCTACAAGTTTTTTTTTTTGTTTGTTGATTTTCTATTTGTTAGTTATGATCTATATGTTTGTCTAACTGAAAAAGTTGTCTGTATGCCTGCGCCCAAACTACAGTATGTATTCGCTATGTGCGACGCCTGAATAACCTACCTACAAATATCCTTTTCCCATTACTTGTATTGCGCTTCAAATACTCGAATCAGATAGCTGTTCTAAATATATATATACATATAGTAGATATATATACACATATATATTTAAGATATAGAGAGCAAGCAAGCATTTAACATTTAAGTGAAATTCAATAACAAATACAGTTCTTTCTTGCCACTCATCGCCTCTGTCAGGATATATGGAGGATTGGTGGCGTCCACGTAAAGGTATTAAACATAGTCTTAAGCAGCCAAAACAATTTAGACCACAGCACACAATACATAATGGTAAACTCCTTTCTGCCTATAACAGATATGCTAGTTATGTACACGTACAACATATATAGATATATATATATACACTATACACTCGCTCTATCTCTCTTTCTCTCTCTTTTATACACATTACTCTTCATATAAATTTTTATAGTTTATTTTTTTTTTTTGCATACGCTAAATATTTTTTGTTTTTGTATTTGTATTTTAGGCAATTTGTTTTGAGCGCAATTTAATATTAATAATTTGTCTATTTACATTTTTCTTCCAACTTTTTTATCTGTTCCTTGGTACGCACGCAAAAAATAAAATATAAAAATAAATTTAAAAAAAAAACTGCAGCTCATGCAACGGATTATTATGGTGAGTAGTTGTTGACTTTTCTCTATGTAAACTATCCAAAAATATTATAAAACGAAGAAATGAAACATTCCTATCTATATAGCATACCAACGACTTTTCTCTCTCTCTGTATATCTCTCTCTTGCTCGCTCGCTCTATGTAGCTTACTCGCTCTGTTTCAATACATACGTATATCTATCTCTCTCTCTTAGCTCTCGTTAGTTTTTTTTTTGTGTGTGTTTATGTAGTAGATCTATCCATAGTGCCTGTTAAACATGTACTAAACAGAATTTAATATATATTTAATTATTTATTTAAAATTTGCTTCTGCTATTCCCCCTCAACTATATCCATTTAATTATGTTTAAACAATTTGCATTTTATTGCGATTTATATTCTATATATCTAACTACTTTAGTAAAGAACATAAAATCTATAAAGTTTCAGTTTGTATCAGCATTATATATAGATATATATTCCATATATATATCGATCTTAACGAATCAAATTGTTCAACTCCACCCAATTTATAAGTTTTTTTTTTCGTTCTTAATTTGTTTAAGTAGCTGAATTTTCTTAAGTTTTCGTTTTAATTAATATTATTACTATGATTGTATATTTATTTTATACATAAACAATCATGTTTTTTTTTTTTAAGTAGGAAGCGAAGAAGAATATTTAGCTTTAGAGCTTTCCGTTATTATTTTGCATATGAAAGTGCGTAGTATCTTTCAACTGTTATGCAGTGAATGATTTAACTGTTATACACTTGAATCTTTCAACTGTTGAACAGTATGTTTTAACTGATATGCAGTTTAAGACTCTCACTGTTATACAGTGTTTTTCAACTGTCATACAGTGGAACATACAGCGTAAAGTATGTCATACAATCTAAGAGCTAAGCTTGTACAATATATAGCACTTTAACTGGCATATAGTATAATAATTAAACTATTATACAATATGACATAAAAGTGTTATACTGTTATACCAAGTATAACTTTAAACCGTTATACAGTCTACAAGTTTCACTACTTTACGCGGGTCTTGAAATTTTTGTTAGAAGAGAACTGCCTGATTATAAATTTATATATGTCTAGTCAACAAATTTTTCAGCCCAAGTATCGAGAATATCTATATATACATCTATTCACATAAACAAGAATATAATTTATTAACTAAGCTTAAGTCTACACACCATATGTAAGCCACACCCACACCCACATACACATACACATACACACACAACGAACACGACTGCATGTAAAAAAGCACAGAAAGAATATCATGTACTATAAAATAATATACTCTATATAGACATACAAATATATGATTAATATATATAGTATATTTGAATTTTAGTAATTATAACAGTTGTCAAACTTAACATTGTATTATAATTTATAAATGTCGCCGCTCTCGGTCGACTTGTGTGCTAATTTTACTTAAATTTTTAATGTCTTTTTTTTTTTTTTAATATTGAACTCGTATCATGATTTATGTTTTATCTATATGCCACAGATATATATCATATAACACATCTCGAAACATATATATGCCATGTAATCGGTTGCTTTTATCGTTTTGTTCATCATTCAATGCCTTTTGTTCAAAATTACAATTTAAAGGGCGGTTTGGCTCCAGATTTGAGCCTCGAAAATAAGTTGAGATAAACAAAAACAACAACAAATGAACTAAAATGAACAACTTAAATGTGTATATGTACAATATATTTTGTTTCTTTATATTTCTTCAAGATGAATACAATCTTAATCCGGGTTTAGAGTGGGAGGATGAATTCACAGGTAGGTACATCCCAAACAAAAGGCAAGAAAAAGAGAAACAGTGACGGGAATCGTGACATGAAGCAAAATAGGAACGCAAACAAATTCTAACTAAATCCAAAGGCAAAACCAAAAATAAATAAAAGTAAACTTCGCGCTGGCTGACACACACACACACAGAAATACATACAAACACACACACAGAGCTATATACACTATCCCCCTCTCTACGCTCGCGTTTTCTCTCTATGCCTTTCTTACTCTCGCTCTATCTGTAATAAAGCCTGCATGCATGATCTTCCATTTTGTATGTGCCAAAATTCAAATTCAATTTTAACCTCAATTCATTTTCATCCATCTATGCTAATTGCGTGCGACTAACCCTTTGTTAATCAACAACAACAAAAATTTTGCTAACAAAAAGACTTAAAAAATACCTTGAAAGAGAAAAATACTCTTGTTTCTGTGGGGAACTGTCTAGCGCTTTCTTTTGTCCCTGTCATTCGATCCTGTCGATACACACACACACATACATAAACACACAGACCTCTCGTTCTCTCGCCCTCTCTCTCGATCTGTTTGTCTCGTTCACTCTCTTTACAAAGCACAGCAAGCGAAGCGCGTTATAGGCGGCTCTCTTAAATGTACCGTTAAGTGTGTTTTAGCCAATAACACACAGCACACACAACCAAAAGCGACCTCTATCGGCTGTTTATGTTAAATGTTAAATGAATGCAATGAAAATGAAATAGAAAAGAAATATTTATATATATGTAATATATAATTAGCATAAATAAATAATTTTAAGTGCAAAAAATTTATAAACTGGGTGGAGAAGCAAAAAAAAAAATAAGTAAATACAATTGATTAAATATTTAATGATACGAATTAGTGAAGCAGGCAAAAGTGTCCATAGAGTGTTAAACCAAATACGTAATACATAATAATGATACCTCAAATATGCCTCCTTATATCTCTCTATCTCTATCTCTGTCTCTATCTATATTTCTCTTATGCTGCCACACTACATAAATATATATAAACATATATATTTATACATATAAATATATATACATACACACATACATATATATTAACGGCGTATCAGTTTAACGGAAATTGTACATTTTTTCAATTATTCATATATTTTAATTTATTTTTTATTAATTGGCTTTGTGTATTAAGTTGTACGGTGTCCAGCGTATAGCACAACTAACAGCATCTATACACAACATACACACACACATGTACGCACTCACGCACATCTCTTGTACAATTTTGTACTTGTGTAAAAAAAACTGTTTTACTCCTTCATTAACACAAGTAAAAGCGAGAGCGCCTGCGTGTGTGCGTGTTGTCTGTTTATCTTTCTCTCTCTCTCTCTCTCTGTCGCTCCGTCATGCACTTGGGGAGCTCCCTACGTCCTCCTCGCTCTTGCTCACTCACACTCACACACACAGCTGTGTGGAGGCGATCAGCACATGCAGAAGAATTCCAATTGTGCGCTCTCTTAAACGTTTCTCCCTTCGCTCTACTCCCAATTTCACAATCTCACAACACACACACACACTAACACACAGAAGCCCTGTAATAAAGCCAAAACAAATATATTCAAATGAAGTTGAAAAGAAATAACAAATTTTGCAAGCAAGACAGAGACAACAATGCAAATTAAAGTAAAAAAAAATGAAAAAATCTGAAAAGCAGCTGAATAACACCAAAATCGAGATCAAGAAAACGAAACAATCCAAATACAAGTAGAATTGTTCCTGTTCTGTCGATTGTCATGTTCCTTTAGCTGTGTTAGTTTTATACATTAAACAGTGCTTGCATTTGATGCCCAAGGAGATGACGAAGAGAGCTCGCTGCCACATCTGGATCATGGCTTTAGTTCCAAGCTGCCACCTGGCTACCTCACTCACGGTCTGCCCACGGTGAAGGATGTGGCTCCAGCCATAACACCCCTCGAACAGAAGAAGGAACAGGAAGAGAAGAAGGAGGGTGAGTGTAACAACAACAACGAGCGGATCAAGAATTGGAGATGTGCGTCAGACTTTATAAGTATCGTCAACAGAACGAAGTTTCTCTTTGGCGCTCACATCTCTAAATTGAAAGCTCGTCCTTTTGCCGATGGCAGCATTTCTTATTTTTTGAAAATTCATATCGATTATTTGCAGTCAAGGAACTATCGGAGGAGCAAAAGCAAATGATCATCTTATCGGAGGATTTTCAAAGGTTCGTATTGCGTGCAGGTCGTATCATAGAGCGTGCTCTCTCGGAGAATGTGGACATATACACCGATTATATTGGCTGCGGCGATAATGAGGAGGCCAACGATGAACGGTCGCATGCTCGTCTCTCGCTGAATCGCGTCTTTTACGATGAGCGCTGGTCCAAGAATCGCTGCATCACCAGCATGGATTGGTCCACCCACTTTCCGGAACTGGTTGTTGCCTCCTATCACAACAACGAGGAGAGTCCCAACGAGCCGGACGGTGTCGTTATGGTCTGGAACACAAAGTTCAAGAAGCAAACGCCCGAAGATGTTTTCCATTGTCAGAGCGCCGTGATGTCCACCTGCTTTGCCAAATTCAATCCCAATCTAATTCTCGGCGGCACATATTCCGGTCAGATTGTGCTCTGGGATAATCGTGTGCAGAAACGTACGCCCATACAGCGTACACCCTTGAGTGCAGCTGCCCACACACATCCTGTTTACTGTCTGCAAATGGTTGGCACACAAAATGCTCACAATGTCATCTCCATATCATCGGATGGCAAATTGTGTTCGTGGTCCTTGGATATGTTGTCGCAGCCGCAGGATACGTTGGAGCTGCAACAGCGCCAGTCAAAGGCGATCGCAATCACATGCATGGCCTTCCCGGCCAACGAGATCAACAGCCTGGTCATGGGCAGTGAGGATGGCTATGTCTATTCGGCATCTAGGCACGGATTGCGCTCGGGCGTCAATGAGGTGTTTGAAAGACATTTGGGTCCCATAACGGGCATCTCGACACATTATAATCAATCATCGCCCGATTTTGGGCATCTGTTTTTGACCTCATCAATCGATTGGACGATCAAGCTGTGGTCGCTGAAGGTAAATAGAGAAAGGCAGGAAGAAAGGGAGAGAGAGAGAGAGAGAAGGAGATCGTTGTCTTCAAGCACTCATCTCATATATTTTGCAGGACACAAAACCTTTGTATTCATTTGAGGATAATTCGGATTATGTGATGGATGTCGCCTGGTCGCCCGTTCATCCCGCTTTATTTGCTGCTGTCGATGGTAGCGGTCGCCTTGATTTATGGAATCTCAATCAGGATACCGAAGTACCAACAGCATCAATCGTCGTCGATGGTGCGCCAGCGCTCAATCGCGTCTCCTGGACGCCATCGGGCCTCCACGTCACCATCGGGGACGAGGCTGGCAAGCTCTATGTCTACGATGTGGCTGAGCACTTGGCGTTGCCATCGCGCGATGAATGGTCGCGATTCAATGCGACACTCAATGAGCTCAAAATGAATCAGAACGATGAGGTCTAAGCACCAACAGCAACAACAACTAACCCAGGCATTAGTTTATAATAATGATCAACAACAACAACACACACACACACACACACACACACAAAAAAGCGTTTCGTTTATATACAAACAAAAAATCGTTATTATGCATCGCCCAAGAATGTTGGGGAAATATCTTATTAATATGCTTTATCATAATGCAATTTATTCTCCTTACCCCTTAAATATGAAATATTTATTTATACGCTTGAGTGTATCGGAACTCAAGTAAAATATCAAGTTTTATACCGATTTCCACCCATATTCCACAATTGCGAGCTTTAAACCTAATCGTTGTTTAAACTCGCCTACAAGTGCAAAGTTCATCAAATGAATTTACACTTGACTACATAATATTCAAATCATATTGCGATTGCATTACATATTTGAAACGATTTTGAGTTTATATTACTACGACGAAACGTTTTGTTCTGATTTTGGTATTCATTGTACTTTTTTTTGTAATTTATTTGATATACATATTAATAATATGTTTAGAACTGATTTCAATTCGTTTGCTATTCCAACTTTTCTCCCCACGAGCTGTGTAAAAAAAAAAAAGATGAAAACTATATGAAGAAAAAAAAAAAAAGAAAGTAAATTATTAAAATGGCAAACAAAACTTATGTATGCTTTTCTTTACATAATATACATAAAAAAAAAAAAAAAAGTATATTTATATATACATATATTCTATATGAAACAAACAAGTTGGGAATTAGACAAACGAGGAAAATTGTATTTGAATTGTATAATAAACAAAAAAGGAAAAAAAATTAAGAGAAAAGCTAAACTAAACGAGATTAAATAAAGATAAAATGAATATACATACATACAGTAAAAATACTATCTATTCATACACATATGCATAGAATATCTTAATCATCTGCATGAATCATGCGAATGGAATGCGTATTATATAAGCCAGCCAAATGCATTGCCATTTGTATGTCGAAGCCGTAGTTGAAGCGAAATTAAAAGCTTTTCTATCTTATAAAAAGCATAGAAAAAAGCTTCGCGCCCCGAACGGGCAGACAATTTCGCTTTTGTGTTTGCGTGTCAGTAGCAAACGGTGAAGCCAAGCGACTGGTGCAAGACAGCGGCAGCAAAGCAAAAGTAAAGAAAAATAGAAAAACAAAAACAAATGCAATATCCTAACAAAATAGTGCAAAGCAGCAACAACAATTGCGGCCAAGACTTAACGAGCCTACGTCATACTTGCATTTGCATAGCAGCAACAAAAACTGCCAAGACTTAACGAAAACCAACAACAACAGCCGCTAAGATTTAACGAAAAGCAACAACAACAGCCGCTAAGACTCAACGAGCTTGCGTCCAATTTGCAATAATAGCAAATGGGCTGCAAAGCATTTTAATTGCATCAATTAATAAACTTGAAATTTATCGAAACATTTTATTTGCAGTCACAGCAAACACTTAACGGCCTGCAAGCACAGCATAAAAGAAAATAAAATATCAAATGGATTACAAGGTGAGTGAAAATTTGGTATGCAATGGAATCGATTCTCATAGTTTTTCTTCCTTTTTGTTTTTTGGGTGGGTCTAAAAACAAACTGCTGACTCATCCATCATGTAGGCGGAGCCCTGTGTTACGGCGCACAGTCCGTTCGATGCGGCGAGTGACAGCCAGGAGCTGCGCAGCGCTATGCGTGGCCTGGGCACAGACGAGCAGCAAATCATCGACATCCTGACCACACGCAACAACGCACAGCGCCAGCTGATTAGCGCCACCTATGCGGCGGAATTCGAAAGAGATCTGGTCGACGATCTGAAGAGCGAGCTGGGCGGCAAATTTGAAAATGTGATCGTGGCACTGATGATGCCGCCGGTGGAGTATCTGTGCCAGCAGCTGCACTCGGCAATGGCCGGCATTGGCACCGAGGAGGCAACCCTTGTCGAGATTCTGTGCACCAAAACGAACGAGGAAATGCAAGAGATTGTTACCACCTATGAGGAGAAATGGGGTCGACCCTTGGCCGAGCAAATGTGCAGCGAGACATCAGGATTCTTTCGACGATTGCTCACACTGATTGTGACCGGTGTGCGTGACCCGGTGAATACGCCGGTGAACGCTGAGCTGGCCAAGGATCAGGCCTCACAGCTATACGCTGCCGGCGAGGCCAAATTGGGCACAGACGAGGAGGTCTTCAATCGCATCATGTCCCATGCTAGCTTTCCCCAGCTGCGTCTGGTCTTCGAGGAATACAAGGAGCTAACCGGCCAGACCATCGAGCAGGCCATCAAGCATGAGATGGCCGATGAGTTGCATGAGGCTATGATGGCCATAGGTTGGTGTAACTCTCCCTCGCTCTCTGTCTCCATGTCTCCCTCTCTCTTTCTGTAAATTTCGGCTATTGATTATTAACGCTCTCTTCTTCATCTTGCAGTGGAGTGCGTCCAATCCCCGGCAGCTTTCTTTGCCAATCGCTTGTACAAGGCTATGGATGGAGCTGGCACCGATGATGACACTCTAATACGCATCATTGTCAGTCGATCTGAGATCGATCTAGGCACCATCAAGAAGGAGTTCGAACGCATCTACAATCGCACGCTATACAGCGCCATTGAGGTAGGTTTATTCACATAAATATACTATATATGTATCTATATATATATATATATATATATATATATATATATATGTATATATATATATCTAAATTCTAGTTATTAATGTATTGCATTTTTCACTTTTGCTTTTTGTATTCCCGTCTTGCACATTTCCTAATTGTTCATGTTGTTGTTCCTTTTGTACTTGTCCTTGGTGCTAGGATGTAAGTATTGGTTGCCCGGTAGAGCTCTACCTATATGTATATGATACATTTGAAGCTGGTCTGACAAAATTTCTAAAGCAAAAACTATCGAATTCGGCAACTTTTCAGACCAACCTCGCATCTGCATATACTATAATGTATCTCAGATAAATCTGCTTGGTTGTTGGTATTACCAATTAGCGAACTATTTATATGGGCAATTCCAGCTAAAGAAAAAATGAATTTTAAACTTTTTTTCATTTTCAAAATTATTTTCTATTGCTTTATGTTTTGGTTAAGACTTATGTATGTAGTTTTATTGATATATGGGCAATTGGTTTGGTAGCTATTAACTGCTTGATATGCTTTTCGGGTACAAGGATTAGTTGGCCTAAGAAGGAGGTGCGAGTGTTACGTAGTGTTAAGAACTGATTTCTCAGAGCTAATCCTATAGACTAATCAGAAATAAGTTCTTTCAGTTTGCTCGAGACTAGAGCTGGACTTATGCTATTAGGAAATGATAGCATAAGATATTGTACTACCATACTATAATATCTTCAGTAATCAAGAAAGTTGTTTTAGATATTAGCTCTATTTGTATATACATATAGGGCAATTCCATAGACTACACCAAAGACTTGCAACTTTTATTTCATAGACTGGTTCATACAGATCAAGTATATATGTATATGCCTATATATAATGTAAGCCTCTTTTTATCATATATTAAAATCAATTATATTTTTTATTTTAGTTAAAATCAAAGCAATTTTTGCAATCCAAACAATTTCAACTTAAACTTAAATAAAATTTCGGCTGGATATGCCCATATATATATATATATATATATATAAATGTATATATATATATATATATAGTTCGATTCATACAGTTCATAACTTTAACTAATTTCTAAATATCTTTTTGCAGTCGGAAACATCGGGCGATTATAAGCGCGCCTTAACTGCATTGCTGGGCGGCGCTTAACTTGGCCTGAAACGTAAAACACAAATGAAATTAAATTAAAATTATAAATATATATATGTGTATGTGTACGTATGCTATATGCGCTTAAATCAATTACTTATTATAGACGCGCTCTTAATGTCGCACAATAAATAAATGTATATATGTATATGTATACTATATATATATACAGATATACATATATATTCATTTAGTTAACAAAATGAGTTGAACTTAAATATTTTAAACCTTGGAATTTTGTGGCGGCAAGGAACCTATTGATTAATTCATTTTAAAAGTTGCCCGCGCATCGTTAAAAAAAAAAGTAATAAAAAAATAATTGGAAAAATAAAGAGATTACTAAACTATTTAAAATATAATTTGTGCAGCTCCTTGGTCTTGACGGGCAGAAAGTTTTGCATTTCATCAGGATTCGTCCATAAAGTAATGGACGACTGTGGAAAGAGGGAAAGAAAGTGTATTAGCTAATTGGCTATTACTTTACAGGTGTGTGTGTGTGTGTGTGTGTGTGTGTGTTTACCTGTAGCTCGGAACAGGGTGCCTCACGATGTATGTACTCCTTGAGTATATAGTTATTCTCGATCTCATAGTGGAAGCGCGTATCATGCATTCGTATGAGCACATCGTCGATTCGCAGAAAGTGACGCAACAGCACAAAGAAACCGGAGGGCATCACACGCTGATAAATGAGAGAGCGATAAAGATATAAGAGATCTACAAATAAGCTAAAAGGTAAGATGGGACTGCCAGCCATATAGATGGAACTGTGGCGACTAATGAGATAAACATGTAGGCATATGAAGCTAAGGTCGAATTTGGTATTATAGCTGGGCATAATTTTATATAGGATATAGTTACAATCAGGCTCAGGCTAAAGCCTTAATATACACTATATATGACAATGCTTGGGTACTCTCTGGGCACAGAGTATAGTATGTATATACATTCGGCAACTCACAATGCGCACACTCATCGCGGAGATGCCGTGATCGTGCAGCTCATCCTCGTATAGTGTGAGATCGTGATAGAAGAGAATATTCTCACGCTGCATCAGTTTCATTTTGTTGAGCGTTTGTTCTGTGACCTCCGAACGAAAGTGTTCATTCAATGTGCCCTGATATGTGGATGTGAATGTCCAGTCGAAGGGTTTGTATTTATGTTCCATGTTCTGTTCGGCGCTGCAAGAGCGAAGGTCGTTTAAATGAGAGTGTTTGAGAGCAAAGGAAATACAATTTCCACTGGCTGTTACCGTGTTTCTCGCCATTCCTGAGCGCAGGCCACCTCGACGGCTGCCTCTTTGCCATTAGCGACCAGAGCGAGTGCGTCTATGGGCTTGAACTCCATCAGGGCGCCATCTTTGTGCTGGAGGACGAGCTTGTTTTTGTGGAACACCATGTCTGGTAGGTGAGGCAGCTCCAGCGTATGCTGATAGTGGCAGAGCTCACAGCGATTGACATCATCCTTGTCGCAGCACTTGTCGCTGCCCAAGTGGCACATGCTCTTTAAAATGTGTGACTTCTCGTAGCTAATGGTCCAATCATTAAATCTTATCGTCTCGCAGTCCACCGGCAAACGCAGCACAGCGCACTGCATAACAAACATATACATACACACATGAGTCTCTGCATATATGTGGGACACCTAAGACTTGCTTACTTCATTCGTCATGTTGCTTAAGTTAGTTTCCGTAAGATGTGTTAAATAAATAATACTTTCTCATACAATTAAACGCGAAAATTATGCGGCAGTGTAGCTGTAGAAATCTATATCGATATATTTTTGTTTTTGAAATCCTTGCAAAATTTGTCATCGATGTATAATATAGAAATTATGCAACAAGGATGTTTAGCCAAAAGTACATTTTAATTATTATATCGAAATCCCACTTTGCTTGAGGATACATAATTCCTTAATAATTGTCCCTCAGTATACAGTAAATAAATTATCTTAAATTTAGTACTCTAATATATCGCGTTACTTATCGATTAATCGTTCGTTTGACATCTCCGAAGCGAAGCGGCAAATGTTTTTGTTTTTGTCAGATATTCTCTTTCTAGGTTGTCGTAGATTTACAAATTTTGTGCATATTTTTTTTATTTAAAATTATAAAAAAAAAAAGGAATAGCCTATCTCACGCATATACAACTCGATTCGCTTAATTTGCCTTATTAACGCTATGATCGCATTTAAGCGCCTGTCACGTTTTTGCCTGCTACGCGCACTTGGCAACCAACCAAAATTTTCCACATATTCGACCACTCGAATGTGCAAGGCTCAAATTACTGCCGAGGAAGTACGCAGCCTGGCTGATGCACTCAAAAATGGCCTGCGTGCTTTGGGCCAGCCAACAAATGCAACGCATCCGCATCTGATCAAGCCACACGAATTGGTGCCCGGCGTGGAGCAGGCGGAATTTCAAACGAGACGCATAAGGCTAATGGAAGGCATTCAAACATATGCGGAAGGCTTTGGGAACGAGTTCAATGGACGCGCCTCCAGAGCGCACATGGTAAGGTTGGACATCTATCCAGACACTCTTATATTTACGTCATACATCTATCCATCAGCTGGTCATTGGAGCCGCTTGCAAAAAGTATATGAGCGGCAAGATACCCTATGTGTTTCGTCAAAATTCGGACTTTTATTATCTAACCGGCTGTTTAGAGCCGGACTCGGTGCTTCTACTGACTATTGACGAATCAGGTACTGTGCAATCAATATTGTTTATGCGTCCCAAGGATCCCCATGCCGAGCTGTGGGATGGCCCGCGCACTGGTCCCGACTATGCGGTGCCACTGTTTGGCGTACATGAGGCATTGCCCATTGAAAAATTCCATCAAACATTGATTGCCCGTTACAGTCAACTGAAGCCGCATTTGTGGTTCGATCTGAGCCAATCGGAGCAGTCAAATGTCACGGATGCAATGCTTCAAGTGTGCAATAACGAACGCACCCAACTGCTGCCCGTTTGCACGTTCGTGGAGAATATGCGACTAATCAAATCACCTGCCGAAATGGAGCTGATGCGTAGCACCTGTTCAATAGCATCAAGTGCGTTTAATGAGGTCATGGCTGAGACGCGTCCCGGCCAATCGGAGCATCAGCTATACGCTGCCGTTGACTTTAAATGCCGCATGCGCAGCGCCAGCTACTTGGCCTATCCACCAGTTGTGGCAGCTGGCCGAAATGCCACCGTCATACACTATGTGAACAACACACAGATTCTGCAGCCGCAGGAGCTGCTGCTGATGGATGCGGGCTGTGAATATGGCGGCTATACGAGCGATATAACACGCACCTGGCCGGTCAGCGGGCAATTCACGGAGCCGCAGCGAACGCTCTACGACATGATGGAGCAGCTGCAAAAGGAGATTATCGGTATCTACACATATCTACAGACTTTAGGAATTGCTTAATATATTTCGTTTCGCACTTGCAGAGCTGATCATGCAGCCTGGCGGCGAGACTTTGGATCAACTATTCGAGACGGCATGCTATAAGTTGGGCAAATATCTGCAGGAAATCGGTTTGGTTCCCAAGAATCTGACGGACCACAAGGAGCTGGCGACGCAAGGCTATAAGTTCTGTCCGCATCATGTATCCCATTATCTAGGCATGGATGTCCATGATACGCCCCATGTGCCGCGCAATACACGCATCCAGCCGGGCATGGTGTTCACGGTTGAGCCGGGCATCTACATTGATGAGAAGCGCACAGATGTGCCAGCCGAATTCCGTGGCATTGGCATTCGGATCGAGGATGATGTCTTGATCAATGATAAGGGCCAGGTGGAAGTGTTGACCGCCAGCTGTGTCAAGGAGCGACGTGCATTGGAGGATCTGTTCAAATAATTTTCTTATCCAAAATAGACTGCCACAAAATTCCTAGTCATAATTTAGTTGTTGTAGAATCCATATGTATATATATGCAGGTGCAGATCAATGTATATATATATTTAAAGATATTTACTTAAGTTGTAAGCAGATATTGCGTATACGCCAAGTGTTCAATGTACAAAGAGTATATAAAGTAATAAAAAGAATACATATATATATTATTTTTCAAGTACATCAAGTGTTAACTATTCGATCCTTAAAGCTTGGCAAACACGGGTTTCTCATCCTTGGTCAGCTGGGCGGCCACCGACTGGGCAAAGTCCTCTGACTGAAGATTCAGTTTGTTGATAATGCGCTGAAAGCAGAAAACAACGTTTATACCATATGCATAGATATCCATTAGAATTTCAGTGGGCTATCTTACAATGTGATCGAGTCCCTCTTGATTGGTATGCTCCAGGGAATAAACCATGCTTTCCTTGGTCGTCTGCACGGCTATGGGACTCTTGCTGGCAATCTCCTCGGCCAGCGCTATGGCGCCCGCCAGCAGCGACTCCTTGTCCGGATACACACGACTGACCAAGCCGCAACGCTCCGCCTCGGCGGACTCGAATCGGCGACCCGTGAAGCAGAGTTCGCGTGCCAATGATTGGCTGCCAATTGCCTTGGGCAGTCGTTGCAGTGAACCAACATCGGCGGCCATGCCAATGTCCACCTCTTTCACCTGGAAAAATGCATCCTGTGTGCTGTAACGTATGTCTGCGGCGGTAATCAAATCGACGCCAGCACCGATGCATGCCTGATGCACGGCCATAATAACTGGCTTGGGGCACAGCTCCACGGCGGTAATCGAGTCCTGATATATCTTAATGGTGCGCTCTAAAACAACGCCCTTGCGAGCCACATCATCGTAGTCAGCCAGCTGCTGACCCAAGGCCATCATGGAAGACAGATCAATGCCGGCACAGAAATGTTTGCCGGCGGCAGAGAGTACAATGGCGCGACAATCTGGATTGACGGCCAGCGTTTCAAAGCAGGCTCTGATCTCGCTAGAGAGAGAGAGAGAGAGAGGGAAGGAGGGGGAAGGTTGTAGTAATACATGCAGCTGTGTATAGGCATGTTCTTACAGCCACATATCCCTGTTGATGGCATTCAGCTTTTTGGGTCGATTCAGCTCCACATGAAAGACAAAAGGTTTTGGCGAGCTGATGGCCAATGTTTTGAACTCTGCGGCCACCTCGGTGGCAGCCTGAGCGCTGCTGTTATTCCTGTGCGGTTGCATGGCTAGCAATGGTAAAATGGTGCAAGATTTAAAAAGACTGTTTTAACTGTTGTTGGTGCCACAGATTTGGACTTTGCACCGGACAATTGGACTCGGGTTTAATAGATTATCCAAAGCAATACATTGACAGCTGGTCACACTCACCAACTAGACGTGGTGCCAGTCTTATAACGTTTGTTATTCTTGGTAGCGACATACTTTGTTATTTAAATAAATTCTAGAAAATCAGCCTTTGATATGCTTATAGCGGTTGTTGACAATTGTTGCATTTGTAATCGTACCGACAAGTGCCGTTACCCGTTATCGATAATGTATAATGTATGCGATAGTAATTGGTACACATATATGTACCCTAATTGGTTCCAGTGGTCAGTGTTGGTACATTATTTAATCATCAAAGGTAACGTGCCAGATGTCGCTTTCTATTATCGATACTTATTTTTAACGATAGTTTGAATAGTGTGCGCTGTCACATTTGATTCTAACGCTCAGTTCCTGCCGGCTTTTAGGAGGCGAAATAAACTTAACGTAAGTCATTTTGTAGACTTTTTCTAGTATAAACCGTCGGCAACACTTTCAGCTGTTTGCAATTATCAAAAACAAACAAAGCTCTTAAGATTAGCGAAAACACACTTACAAGCATATCAAATAAATTGACGCGGAATACATCTAAGTAAAATGGAGGAATCGCTTGACGTGCTCGTTTTTGGCTCGGCCATTATAGATTTTGTGTGGTAAATGCATATAAAATGGGATGCAGACATATTTAATAACAAACCGTTTACATTATCAGCTACGCACCCCGTTTGCCCAATCCTGGTGAGACTTTGCATGGTACTAAGTTTCAAACTGGATTCGGTGGCAAGGGCGCCAATCAATGCGTAGCTGCTACTCGCCTGGGCTCCAAGACAGCTTTAATTGCCAAACTGGGATGCGATAGCTTTGGCAACAATTATATACGTCACCTGCAGGCTGAGAAAATAAATGTGAAGCATGTCCAGCTACTGCCTGACTATACAACGGGTGTAGCTCAAATCGCAGTCGCCCATTCTGGCGAAAACAACATCATTATCGTCGTGGGAGCCAACAATATGCTCGGCCCTAAGGATGTGGAAAATGCATCCTATTTGTTCGACAAGGCCAAGGTGTTGGTCTGTCAACTGGAGACGCCCATTAATGGCACGTTGGAGGCATTGCGTCGATTCAAGGGAATATCCATTTTGAATGCTGCTCCAGCCATAGCGGACGCCCCTATGGAGCTGATACAATTGTGCACCATTTTGTGTGTGAACGAAACCGAAGCTGGAATCCTGGTGGGCAGGCACATCGATTCCATTAAGTATGTACAAAATGCATATATACATTTATAGATATTTTAAGCCTTGAGAGATTATCTGTATTACAGCGATGCATTCAATGCATTGGCGCAGTTAATTCACATGGGCGCCAACATTGTAATCATCACGCTTGGTAAAATAGGCGCCGTCTGTTCCTCGAGAGCAACTCGTTATGACTGTCAACTGGTATCAGCTCCATTGGTGCCCCCGGAGTTGACGAAGGACACAACTGGCGCTGGAGATGCCTTCATTGGTGCCCTGGCTCACAGCTATGCACATTTTCCAGAAAAAGCTCTGGCTGATCACATTGCATCTGCCAATGTAGTGGCATCTAAGTCAGTGCAGCGCCTTGGCACCCAGTCAAGCTTCCCATATGCTTAAGAAAGAGAGACAAGAAACTGTTGAAAAGCCATTAACCAAATAATTTACATATGTATGCATGTAAAAATAGTAATAATAATAAAACGAGGCCTTAGTCTAGCATACTTGTCACGATACGAGTATGCACAAACGTAACATGCCAGACATTTATTTATATACCTAGATATGTACATATATCTGCTAGACTTATGTATTCGATATCCAATAAATGTAAGACATTTCTTCCACCCTTGCTCTTCTCAAGATTGACGTACAAAAGAGGTGGCATTAACTGTATGTTTTTATTACAAGATTTAATGCGCTATTTGTGTTAAATCGTAAGTATAAAAAGTGATATTTTTTGTTTAAACGTTCAATTTTGGTCAACCTTCATTTGACAACAGAATTTTTCCGCAAACGCAATTCGCATCGTGTTCACGTGTATGTGTGTGTGTGTGTGTGTGTTGACAAACGAATTCCTTCAACAGAAGTGGTAGTAAATGTTTATGCGCTGCAATCATCCTCATCACTTCTTGCCCGACTTCTTAATGCCACCGCCCACAAGGGGTCCCTTCTTGGCTGCCTGCTGTTTGGCGGCATCGAGTGCCTTTTGTTGTTCCTTTTGCTTCTGCTTGAATGCCAAATCTTCTTCGTCGAGATCCTTGCCTTCCTTCTTGGGAGCCTTCAGTGGCTTCTTTTTACCGCCCTCACGACCACTCATCTTCTAGAATTTTATATACAAATTTAAATAAATCTTTTATATGAACAGCTTAGCAAAATAGTCACGCACTCGCACGTTTTCCCAACTTTTCTATTTAGTGTTTAGCAATGACAGAAAAATATTGCTTGTCAAAAAAGCAGCAACGAATTCTGTCATCGATTGTTTTTTCCTTTTCAACCCTTCTAAATGTTATTTTTAATTCGTATCTATAATTTTTGTTAGAAAACCATGCTGAACAAAATCATATTTATAACATAATAGGTATAGAATAAATATTTTTTATTACAATACTTTTAAAACTGACTATCTTTTAACCATTCTCAGTGGTCCACACAATGTGTGTGAAAAATATCGTACTGTCATCGATAGCTATCGGATATTTCGATTTCTAATGCAGTTTAAGCTGCTCGATAGTTTACCACACTGCTCCGGTTTTGCGAACACTTCACGAATTGCGTTCGTTAAGTGAGCACGCGGCTAGTTTCAACGCCAAGTGGGAAATTCTATTCTGCAAAAGAAGTTTTTATTCTGTGGCTTTTGTAAGAAGTTTAATAACTGAAGGTATTGTGGTTTTCTTTTATACAATTCTTAATTCTATCTTGCTGTGAGCTACTACAAAAATGAAAATCGGACAGTGCATTCATTTAAAATTTGCCATTGATTTTTTTTCTTTACGTTCACCTTGCACTAGATTTAAGTTATGTAATGTGCTAAATTTTTTTTTTTTATGTGTCGGTGATGGTTTAATTTTCCGGTGTATGAATCTAACTCTATATTGTCGCCAAACCAGTGCGGCGTTTTCAACAAAATGTATGATTTTATTTTTTTTTATATAAAAATGGCAAAAAGCGCTGCCTAAGTTGTGCTTACATAACCACAAAATAATTTGCAAGCGAAAGCAACGATAAATTGAAGGCTACAAAGTTTCGGCGTCTAATATAAGTCACAAGGTAAAACTGTCGTCCGTGTCTCTGTGTCCTCTTTTTCAATGCACCCACATACACACACCTGCAGTGTGTTAAGAACGCTCACGAGTTCTAACCTAAAAAAATTTTTGCAAGAAAAAGTTGAAAGCAAAAAAAAAACGGTGCCACACAAGCAAACTGTCGTCACACACTCACAGGAACACGCACACGTTTACAATTGAGCACAATTTTCAACAGCTGCTTTGTAATGAATCTAATTGAATATCCACTTTTTTTACATGTAGATGTATCATATATACATGTGCAGAATTTTCACTATATTTTCATTCGTATTAATTGTGTACAAATGCGGCACACGCATACAGATGTAGTTGAGCATTCATATGAATTCCATGTGCTTATCGCGCTCTCTCCCTTACTCACACGCCATGCCATTTACACGCGCAAGACTCACAGCGACTATAAATGCCAATGTATGTGTGTGTGCGCATATTTCAGTGTTTTTTTTTTTTCTTTTTGCATTATTCTCTTGTCTTCAAATTTCTAAGAGCACATTTCTCCTACGTTGACCAATGACCGTTTTATTGTTGCTTTTCGATACTTTTA